TGGCGCCTCTGAATGTCGTGCCCTGCGTAGGATTAGCCTATCTCCATTTATCTATCAATATTATAAAGCTGAAGAGTTTGGTTGAACGCGCTAATTTTCAAATCGGACCAGTTGTTCCTGAAACTGGTCCGATTTGAAAAAATATTTTTGTGTTAGATAGCCCATATCGGGGAAGGCTTTAAGCTAATGATGTTATGATGATGATAATGATGACACCCTACGGCCAATAGGGGCGGAGCATTAGAAAAAATTGTTTATTTTATTTTATTGTTAGGAAAACAAACAGCATTCAATAACACACATAGAGTTACCAATTAAACTTCACATTTTCCAAAAGAGTTTTTACAAATAGTTCTTACATAGATATCGTTTTTGGAAATTGAGTAAATTGAGTTGCAAATGTTATTCAAACTATTTTAACGCGTACGAAGTCGGGGGCAACTTTAGAGCTTGGTCTAAAGTAGACAGAGTTTTGGAAAAGTAAGAAAATTTGTGTTTGTTGAATTAGTCAAGAAGTGGTTAAATTGTCCTTAATTGTCTCTAATTTTTTCTGAATATTTATACGGTTAATTAAATGAGCATTATGTGTTTAAATCTAAACTTCGTATTGTGGACCTAGAGAATTCAAAAACAATATTTTTAATTACCGACGAGGAATTTTGAACGAAAATTGAAGCTTGGAAATGTAAATCCCTACGGTTGTAATGAGATTTCGCTGAAAAAACACGATAATTAATGTTACGAGATAAACGCTAAAAGATTTACAGCTTTGTTTTTCTTTTACCCTGATTGTTTAATATGAAAATTCATTACAAAGATTGAAAGCGGGTAGGTAGGACTAAATTATAAAAAAGCGTTTTTAAATAAGTCTATTTTTAGTTTTTTCGCAATTAATTTTAATAAAATACACGTCCCACACGTCATTTTCTTTTGAAGTTATTTTAAATGATTATGTAAGAACAATTTGTGCAATTCTTTTGGCATTATACAGGGTGGCCAGGGAGTTGACGTTCAAAGCTAAAATTTAAATACCTTACATCAAGGTGTATCTAAATCACCCCCATTTATGTTCTACGATTTTGTTTAGTTTAGGAGATAGTAGATAGATACTGGGTCGCTCGCTAGTAAAAACCCAAAATTGAGATCCCCGAAAGTGCGAATTAGTACCTACATTAAATTAGATATTGTATGTTATAATCCACCTGATTGGTTGATAACAAGTTGAATTTTAAAGACACGTCGAGCCATCAAGTCTGGCCGTACTTGTCGCTTGATACATGATACAGCATGCATAGGCGCTCGTCATATTGAAGAGCCATGTCACTTGCGGCGCGGGACGCATCGAACTGGGTCGCTCGTATAAAGATTGACACGCCCGGACGTCCGGATGCGTTGCGGACTCGTAGGGTGACCACCGTAGATTGGTGGCGGGACAAAAGTGGGAATTTTGAAGATTCCTTGTTGATTTTTTAAAATTTGCTTATTGTAGTAAAATAAGAATAAAAATAACTAAAATAGTTAAACATCACAATAGTTCTAAACGAGTCTGTCAGAAAAATAAGTTAAATGTTAAAACCAAAAAAAATGTAAACATTCATTTGAAATATTTTTATTGAATCCCTTTGTTTCTCTTGTAGGTCTATATTTTTGCGTTTCAATTAAAACCTTTGTTAANGTTTCCGAGTATTAAGCGAAAAACCGAAAAGTGGCAACTTTAAACCCCCCTCTCCCCGCCGGCTCAAGGGCTAAGGGCGGGGACTTTTGCTATGTTCACCTCCTAACTAGTCTAAATAAAGTCCTGAAGTCAGAAATTGTGTTCTACAGTTTTCCATCTATAATGCTTTATTGACTGGACTATATGTACAAAGTTTCATTTCATTAGCGTCATCACGCTTTTAGTAATTAATCCGTAAACATCATCATGTCACAGTCATCCGCGCAATGTACGAAATTGAAGTACACAGTTGTCATAAAATTACTCAAAAAGAGGAACAAAACGCTGACGGTAACATTTGATGAGATGTTTACAGTTTATGGGGAGTCTGGGCCTTCATTTGCCATCATGAAAGATTGGATCCGATAGTTCAAGCATGGCAGGGAGTCGCTAAAAGATGACCGCAAGTCAGGGCGGCCAGATTTCGCCATTAACGAATAAAATAATGAAAACTTAAGGAATCTTGCTTTAGAGATCAGCGAATTAAGTTGTGACAGATAGCTGAAGCCATAGGCATTAGCAAAGAACGTATCGGCGATATTTTTCATACTCATTTGCACATGAAATAGGGGTGCGCGCTATGGGTGCCAATAATGCTCACGCCGCTCGACAACCAGCGTCGAGTCACAACTTCGCAGGAGTTTTAGGACATCTTTGGCCATAATCCTAACATTTTTTTTCTCACATTATCACTATTGATAAATAATAGATCCAGCAGTACGATCTAGAGTCAAAATAAGAGTCAATGCAATGGATTCAAAATAGAAAACGCCGCCGCGGAAATTCAAAGTGGAGCGATCGACACCCAAGCTCATAGCCACTATTTTTGGGATTGTGGAGGAATTTTATTCATTGACTACCTACTTAAAAAATACTACAATAAACGGGAATTATTATGCTGTACTGTTGATAGGAGTGCGTCAAGTGGTTGTTGAAATATTAAGAGGCAAACTGGCGAACGGAAATCTGTTACTGCAAGACAATTCACTCGCGTACACCGCGCATGTTGCATGGCTTGTCCCGGGTAAAACAGGATTTCAAGAAATTAATCACCCACCACACAGTTTAGTCCGATTCTCTAGCTATTTTGTCTAATTCTCTAATTGGAAAAAATACCTCCAGGAACGAAGATTTTTGAGTGCTAAAGAAATGAAGGCGGCGTTAAAGGCTCATTTCGAAGGCAAAGATTGTGAATTTTTTTTCAGTGGGTTAAAAGCTCTTTTACACAAATGTAAGAAGTCCGTTGTAGTAGAGGGAGATTAAATAGAAAAATATATTTTTTACACTTTTCTATCGGCATTTTTAATACCCTAGGCTCAAAACTTTTCAGCCGCCCCTCGTAGAAAGTCCTATTTGGTATTCTAACCGTGTGGTACCGCAGCCTACGTAAAATGACAAATTATCCTAATGGGTCCTGAAATTACATGTCTTTGGTAAATTAGATTAAAGAACTTTGACTAATCAATTTGTCTCTCAATATTTCGTTTACTTCTTCTTAGGAATCTTGTCGATCTAAAATTTTACTTGTACGTAAAGTCTTGTCAACCAGTAAGTACCAATCCATCTGTCACAAGGTAAGAACTCGGTCATTAGACTTGTAGACCAACACATGACCTTCAATAGCCATCCCATATTCGAGTAAGCTTGAAAGGTGTCGCTTATGTGTCCCATGAATCAAACAATCTTCTATTCCTCGCACCACCACAACCAAGGACCCTCCTCACCGCTCTGTCACGTCAAACACCAAAACGCGACCCAGTTTGTGACGCGGCCGGATGCCCGGACGTCCGGGCGGACGCGTAGGGTGCCCACACACGGGAGATAGTGCGGGATTCGACGGCACTGACAGCTTATTGACAGTTTGCGTGTAGTCAGAATTCGGTTTGTGACGTGAGAAGTTTCAAAGTTTAGTCTATGGGGTGATAATGTTCCCAAATATTATGTAGTTTAGGCTCTTTGGTAAGGGTACAGGAAATGTAACCTGGTCTGTATTAGGTACCTACTTATAATGCATTTCGTAATTTGTCTTTTCTATTGTATAAATCGATAAGGGATATCGAGCTCGCAACCAAATACTGATAGGCGCGCTTCTAAGTAATTATAATTAATAGCAATTTATTTCTAGGTTAATTGTTTGCTACTTCAAAGGGGAGTNAGGGGAGAGACATTAAAATGTTATTAAGCCTATGACTAATATTTCAAAGTCCACTTGTACGTAATATTATGAAGTGAAATAAGAACGTACACACTAATATGTAAACGTCGTTTTCGGTCGAGTAAGTCTCGAAAATAACTCGAGTTTAATAAAAAGATGAGGACCAATATAAATATGTAATATTGTAAATGTCACTTTTTGTTAGAATTCTAATAATAACTCGATGACAAAATACTGAGAAGTTCCAAAAATACTCTGAACTCTTTCTGAAAACATCTGTAAAGTGACTTCTTACGTGTTCAGTGGTCTGGGTAGCAATTTGCTTAGAAACGTTTCGACTTTTTTTCGATCGCGGGTAGTTTTCTCAATAGGTGTATTAGAATTTGGTTATTTGAAGTGCCTACTACTTTAAAGGTCATTGCTTTTACGCTATTATGGCGGGCTTCAATTATATTAAAGTATTTTTTGCTTTGTTCTCAGGTGACATTAAAATTTTATAATATTTGAAGTTCGTTAATGGATGTTTTAATTTACTTAATGAAACTAAAATAAAAAATACATACTTAGATTAAAAAATAAAAAACTTTCTAGATAAAAAAATACCGTCTACATAAAGTTTTTTTAAAGTAATATGATGACTGTTATTATGAACTAAAAAAATATCTAGGTACATACCTACTTACCTACATAAGAGGGAAAACACAAAAGGATACACGTATAAATAATAACTGAAAATTATTTAATTAATTAAATAATTCTGGTCTTAGTATATTGGTGTATTCCTTGAAATCTCAAGATTTGCCAAAAATCTTTCAGCAATTAGGCGGCCCAGATACCGTCGCACCTGTGTGCCAATTTCGGGCGCATAATTATCCAGCGCGAATAAAAACATGACGTTGTCCCGCTCCAAATCGTAGTCACCTCAGCTCGCCCCTCCTGCTTGCCGCTAAATAGGTCAAACGTTCCTACCTCATTTATTCAACGATTAAAATACTTAAAAATTGTATCCAAAAAAGGTGTCTCGGACGAAACTACACATGGTTACCCCGCGTCCCGCGCAGCGTTTGACAGCTGACTTCTGGCACGCCCAAACTCGCGACCAAACGAAAAGCTTGTAAACATTATACACACCAGCCTACCGACGCACTTGCTGGTTGATATCCTCCGCAGCAGAGGCTTCCTTTCCGTATCATTATCACTGTCGGTGCTGTCCTCACAAAAAGCTGTTTTCTTGTCATCGCCGACAGCATTTCTGTCGGCCACTGACATTACTTCGCGGGCGCTCGCACTCTGAACACACTGCGCGGTGCAAATGCAACTACATCATACAGAATAACTTGATAATTTTACTTTGTATACGAGCCGCTACCTAGCTGACATTTCGGGCAAGCGCCATGACAATTCTGACACATACCCCGCGACTGAAAACAAAACAAGCCTCCCTGAAAAGGACGTAGCGACATCTAGCATGAGTTTGTAGCACTTCCTGATATAAACTGAAAGCTGTGCTGAAAATAGCTGAAAAATTATTTATAAGATGGCGTTGGTATACCGACAGAATAAATAAAGTTTTATTATTTTCAACCTTTAATAAAGTTTATTATAATGTACCGTACATTAAAATGTACAATTAGATAAAACATACTTTTTTCTAATAAGATACGATACTTACCTCTTCTAATTTGTTCCTGGCAGTAAATATTATTTAAATCTTCTAAAAAAGTTCTAGAATTCAATTTCAAAATCAACGATGACTGAACACGGTTTGCCGAGCTCATTTTTTCCTGAAATCCGAGATGCAAACAGTGTGAAGAAACCGCGATAGATTTTTTTTAATTTTTTTATATTAGTTTTTAAGTTAATGTTAAGCAACAACTTTGTGATCGTTTTTCGATAGTTTTTAGAGAAATTTACAAGTATCTGGAACGAAGAATCTGATAAATTATCAAGATGAGGGAGATCATTAACCTGCAGGTTGGCGCTTGCGGAAACCAGATAGGAGGAAAGGTAAGACCGCCTCGTTAGTGTGTAGTTTATAACGTCCATTTATCGCGGTATCTTTATCTAAGCCAACCTACGCTCATCCCTGTTTATCTTCTATGAAGTACCTAATGGTGGCCATACACGTTAGGGTTTGCATGATGGTTACGACCGTACATGCTTAACCAACAGGTATAACCGAGTTATCTATAGCACATACACGTTAGGGTTTGTATGTATTTAACTCAAAGGTGACTGGCTGACTGACANGAAGTACCTAACAACGCGTTTCTTTTTCAGTTCTGGGAGGTGATATCCGACGAGCACGGCATCGACCCTAGCGGTTGCTACCATGGCGACTCGGACCTCCAGCTGGAGCGCATCAACGTGTACTACAACGAGGCGTCCGGTGGCAAGTATGTCCCGCGGACCGTGCTGGTGGACCTCAAGCTTGCCACCATGGACGCCGTGCGCTCGGGGCCCTTCGGCTGCCTCTACCGCCCCGACAACTTCGTCTACGGCCAGAACAGCGCCGCCAACAACTGGGCAAGAGGACACTACACCGAAGGCGTCGAAATCCTAGAATCGGCCTTAGACGTCATCCGAAGAGAAGCGGAGGGATGCGACTGCCTCCAAGGCTTCCAAATGTCCCACTCTCTAGGCGGCGGCACCGGCTCTGGCCTCGGCACACTCCTAATCAACCGCATCAGAGAAGAGTACCCCGACCGAATCATCCTAACCTTCTCCGTATTCCCAAGCCCGAGAGTGTCGGATTGCGTAGTGGAGCCATACAATACCACGCTGGCGGTGAACCAGCTGGTAGAGAATGCGGACCACACGTTCTGTTTGGACAACGAGGCGTTGTACGACATCTGTTTCAGAACGCTAAAGCTGACGACACCAACTTACGGCGATCTAAATCACTTGGTTTGTGCGACTATGTCCGGCATCACGACGTGCTTGAGGTTCCCGGGTCAGCTGAATGCGGATTTGAGGAAACTAGCAGTCAACATGGTGCCTTTCCCCAGACTTCATTTCTACACACCTGGCTTCGCTCCCTTGACGTCGAGAGGAGCGCAGCAGTACAGAGCGTTGACAGTCCCTGAATTAACGCTGCAAATGTTCGACGCGAAGAATATGATGGTGGCATGCGACCCCCGACATGGTAGATACCTGACCGTGGCCACGATATTCAGAGGGAGAATGTCGATGAAGGAAGTTGACGAACAGCTTGTCAATATACAGAACAAGAACAGCACATACTTTGTCGAGTGGATACCGAACAATTGCAAGATTGCAGTTTGTGACATACCTCCACGAGGGTTGAAGATGGCATCGACATTTATTGGTAACACAACGGCTATCCAGAGCATATTTAAGAGGATGGCTGAACAGTTCGTGGCCATGTTCAGGCGGAAAGCGTTCCTTCACTGGTACACTGGTGAGGGTATGGACGAGATGGAATTCACAGAAGCGGAGAGCAACATGAACGACCTGGTATCAGAATACCAACAGTACCAGGACGCCACGGCGGACGACGAGGGAGAGTTCGACGAGGAAGCAGAAGGCGAAGGAATGGAGTAGCAATAATAATTTGGTGTTCATTTGTGTATGTCCTTGTGTTCGTCCTAAATAAAATGGTTGCTATAATTTAATTTTCATTTATAGGAGGGAGCTTAACGTAGGGAGGGAGCTTAACGTAGGGAGGGAGCTTAACGCAGGGAGGGAGCTTAACGTAGGGAGGGAGCTTAACGCGCAGGGAGGGCGCTTAACGTAGGGAGGGAGCTTAACGTAGGGAGGGAGCTTTACGTACGGTGGGAGCTTTACGTACGGAGGGAGCTTTACGTACGGAGGGAGCTTTACGTACGGAGGGAGCTTTACGTACGGAGGGAGCTTTACGTAGGGAGGGAGCCTAACGTAGGGAGGGAGCCTAACGTAGGGAGGGAGCCTAACGTAGGGAGGGAGCCTAACGTAGGGAGGGAGCCTAACGTAGGGAGGGAGCCTAACGTAGGGAGGGAGCCTAACGTAGGGAGGGAGCCTAACGTAGGGAGGGAGCCTAACGTAGGGAGGGAGCCTAACGTAGGGAGGGCGCCTAAAGGCCTATTCAGACCTAAGCGGTTTGCCGAGGTACTTGATACTAAATACCTGAGCGAAACCCGCGCGGTATACACCTCTACCAGGCCCCTTCTTACCCACCGCACTACCAAACCACACTACCAGTAGTGTCGTGGGGAATATTTTTTCCTTTCTACACTACCAAGCCAGTAGTGTCGTGGGTAATTTTTAAGGGCCATACATCTTCATTCCCATCGACACTACTAACATAACTAAATGTAAAATTTGTAAAATTTTGGATTGTTTTGTAATAAATTATGTTTATATGCAACCCTAACCTCTGTGCAATTTTGCAGTTTGACGGAATTTCCTGAAAATAAAATATTACCTAAAAGGGCTTATGTACATGTTACGGTTAATGTACAAGTAAAACGCTTTCAAATGATACCAAACACGGCGTATTTATCTTAACTTTATTTTTTTACTCTGTATGGTTTGTCCGCTAGAGGGCGCCACAGTAGATTGTTGTGAAACCCCATAAGCCTATAACCAGCGGACAATTTAAGACGCTTCTAATGATTATGTCATTTGTCGAATTCTGATAAGTAGTTTAGAAGTTACGAGGGAACAGATGAACATACATACATACATAGCCTATCAAAATCATAACCCTCCTTTTCCTTTGCCGTAGTCGGGTAAAAATAATTTAATATTTGTTTTTCTTTCACGCAAAGTTAAGAATAAGAATAAGAAATTTATTCATAATGTCATTCATTACATGTCAAATTTTCAATATATTTTAATGTTATATAGGTATAAGCCCTTTTAGGTAATAATTTATTTTCAGTGAATTCCGTCAAACTGCAAATTTGCACAGAGGTTAGGGTTGCATACAGGGTGGAAACGATAAGTGATCTCATTCGATTATTTCTAAACTATACAAGATATCGAAAAACTGATTACTAACCCTGAAAGTACTTCACAAGCTCTATCCAACGGTACCAATATTAGGTTACAGAATTAACTGAATCTATCCGAAAATTTAATGTTTTCAGCCTCCATACTAAATGTATGCCAGTCAAACAATAATAGAATTATTAATTTTGTTTATTAAATACTTAATAAACACTTAAAATGAACTCGTAAATAGGCATTCGTATTTAAAATTATTCTTGGAAAACATTGGTTAGGCTTTGCTTGCTATAAAATTAACAAGACATGAGTGCCATATGACTGTGGCTGTACTAAATGTATGGAAGCTGGAAACATTGAATTTTCAAATGGATCCAGTTTATTTTGTAACCTTTTATTGGTACCGTTGGATAGAACTCGTGAAGCAGTTTCAGGATCAGTAATCAGTTTTTGAATATTTTGTATAGTTTTTAATATTATGTGGTTTTACTAAATGTATGGAAGCTGGAAACATTTAATTTTCGGATAGATCCAGTTTATTCTGTAACCTATTATTGGTACCGTTTGAAAGAGCTTGTGAAGCACTTTCAGAATCAGTAATCAGTTTTTCGATATCTTGTATAGTTTAGAAATAATCGAGTGAGATCACTTAACGTTTCCACCCTGTATAATAAACAATTTATTACAAAACAATCCAAAATTTTACAAATTTTACATTTAGTTATGGTAGTAGTGTCGATGGGAATGAAGATGTATGTTACCCACCACACTACTGGCTTGGTAGTGCAGAAGGGAAAAAATATTCCCCACGACACTACTGGTAGTGTGGTTTGGTAGTGCGGTGGGTCAGAAGGGTACCAGCGCCTGTACCTCTAGTAGGAAAAACTTTCGAGTTCGTTTCGTTGCGTATTCAAAGTGTCATCGAAAAATTTTGTATGAAAAATTAAACAGCGCCCCCTATATTATAGCCGCCCTAGGGGGCGCTGTTTAATTTTTCATACAAAATTTTTCGATGACACTTTGAATACGCAACGAAACGAACTCGAAAGTTTTTCCTACTAGAGGTACTGGACGTTTGTCAACAAAATGGTGCTCGACTCTTGAGACAAGCTAAATTACACCATATTGTTAACGACATTGAGCATACATTTTTTTAAATACCTTCGCGAAGAAAATCTTCTGTACGAAGTACTTATTATTATTCTGTGCCTCTACTCACAGCGGCAGCGAACATCGCTCAGGTTTGAAAAGGCCTTAACGTAGGGAGGATGACCGAGCCAATGACTGGAGGGCTATGTCACAGCACACACGTTGTGACAAGAGGGCTGTGACCGAGGGCTATGGAGGGCTATGACGAGAGGGCGATGACAGAGGGCGATGACAGAGGGCGATGACAGAGGGCGATGACAGAGGGCTGTGACAGAGGGCTGTGACAGAGGGCTATGACAGAGGGCTATGACAGAGGGCTGTGACAGGGCTATGACAGANGGAGGGTGCTTGACGTAGGGAGGGAGCTTGACGTAGGGAGTGCAGTGACAGAGGCCTGTCGACAAAGGGCTGACAGTGCTATGTCAGAGGGCTATGACAGAGGGCTATGACAGAGGGCTACGACAGAGGGCTACGACAGAGGGCTACGACAGAGGGCTACGACAGAGGGCTAAGATACGACAGAGGGCTACGACAGAGGGCTACGACAGAGGGCTAAGGGCTAAGACAGAGGGCTAAGTCAGGAGGCCTAAATTGTTGAAATCAAAATCCAAATATGTATAAGCGTTTTTTATTGTTGACGCTTTTAAATAGCCACAAAAACATCAAAAACAGTTACACTTAACAATGACAATATTAATTACACTGGACAGGACAAACATTGACGTCACTCTTCCTCCACCTCCTCGTCGAACTCCCCTTCGTCGTCGGCAGTAGCGTCCTGGTACTGCTGGTATTCTGACACCAGGTCGTTCATGTTGCTCTCGGCCTCCGTAAACTCCATCTCATCCATACCCTCACCAGTGTACCAATGAAGGAACGCTTTCCGCCTGAACATGGCCGTAAACTGCTCAGATATCCTCTTAAACAGCTCCTGAATTGCTGTCGTGTTACCAATAAAGGTAGCGGACATCTTCAGCCCTCTAGGAGGAATATCACACACGGCCGTCTTGACGTTATTCGGAATCCATTCAACGAAATAACTGCTGTTCTTGTTTTGGATGTTGAGCATTTGTTCGTCCACCTCCTTCATGGACATGCGTCCGCGGAAGACGGCGGCGACCGTCAAGTACCGCCCGTGGCGAGGGTCACACGCCGCCATCATGTTCTTCGCGTCGAACATCTGCTGAGTCAGCTCCGGCACTGACAATGCTCGGTACTGCTGACTGCCTCGCGATGTCAACGGCGCGAATCCAGGCATGAAGAAGTGCAGTCGCGGGAACGGCACCATATTCACCGCCAGTTTCCTCAAATCCGCGTTCAACTGCCCGGGGAACCGCAGACAAGTCGTGACCCCGGACATGGTTGCTGATACCAAGTGATTCAAGTCTCCGTACGTCGGCGTCGTCAGCTTCAACGTTCGGAAGCAGATGTCGTATAGAGCCTCGTTGTCTATGCAGTACGTTTCGTCTGTGTTCTCAACAAGCTGATGCACTGATAGCGTGGCGTTGTACGGCTCCACGACTGTGTCGGAGACTTTCGGGCTGGGGACTACCGAGAAGGTGTTCATGATGCGGTCGGGATACTCTTCCCTGATCTTTGATATTAGTAGCGTCCCCATTCCTGATCCAGTGCCGCCGCCTAGGGAGTGTGTCAGTTGGAATCCTTGTAGACAGTCGCAACCTTCGGCTTCTTTCCTGACCACGTCTAGTACAGAGTCCACTAATTCTGCTCCTTCGGTGTAGTGTCCTTTGGCCCAGTTGTTGCCGGCTCCAGACTGGCCGAAGACGAAGTTGTCTGGCCGGAAGATCTGGCCGAAGGGTCCGGAGCGCACGGAGTCCATGGTGCCGGGCTCCAGGTCCACGAGGACGGCTCGGGGCACGTACTTGCCGCCAGAAGCCTCATTGTAGTAGACGTTGATGCGTTCTAGTTGCAGATCGGAGTCTCCCTGGTACGCGCCGGTGGGGTCGATGCCGTGCTCGTCGGAGATCACCTCCCAGAACTGAAACGACATTTTCATCGTGAGCTATAGGAATGAATTGCTTGTGTAGGCTTTATAGTAACGATCTCGGGACATCAATTTATTTTTCTGTAAAGTTAAATAGTAGAAACAAATGACGTGACATGTTACTGGATTGATCTACTTTTACACCATTGAGAAAATCTAGATGAGTAAAACACTTCCCAGCGTAGTGGAAAGTGTGGAAATAATGAAAACTTGATATTTACCTTGGCTCCGATCTGGTTTCCGCATTGCCCGGCCTGGATGTGGACGATTTCCCTCATTTTGGTTGTTTCACGATAAATTTTGAGCCTAAAATCTAGTTAGTTAAAATTTGCCTTCCGTTAATTCGTCATAAAAAAATATAAAAAAATACAGTTGGATTATTGCATGTGCATCGTACACGAAATTTTCTGGAATAATGAAAGGTCTACATTCTTTTGTCAAACCGAATGGAAAATGAAATTCGAATTTTGAATTGGAAAGGAAACGTAAAAATTTTCACTTAATACTTTTTGTTACGTTTTAACCAACAAGTTTGTAATAAAAAGGTTTTATTAAGCGCATTGTACGAGCGATAGCCTTCAAGCAACCTTCTAAATAAATAAATAAATCCGAAGATCCGTAGGTTCTCCTCACAAAGCGGGTGCGGGTAAATTTTCACCATAGGTCGTGATAATTTTATGATTCAGAAAATAAATAAAGAAAAAGATTGCTGCTTTCTACCACTACAAAAGGCCGAATTTAGGGGAGGGCAATCGAGGCTATGGCCCCGGGGATATAATTTTTTACGTTTTCCTTTACCTACATTACTTTGTACAAATATGATTATATTTCAAAATAACAGAAATCATTGATTTAAGCCTATAGATCTATTATTTCTTTTTGAGGCCAAGGGGCCCTCCACTCTTTTGTTGCCCCGAGGTCTCCAAACCTCTTAATCCGGCACTGACTAAAAACAAACAGCGCACTCACCCATTCTGCAATCAATCAAGCACCAGCAGTTTCAGGGGAGTGAACCGCGGTACCCAATCTCTCTGTCCTCGAAGATGGAAGATGATGAAGGACCAGCCTCGACTCAGTCAATCAAGAAAGGCAGCGGCATTAATTACTATACTTATCACTTATCTACACTATCACACTATAACGGAACTTCACAAAATACACTCCACAATATTTCAGTTCTCAGCGTTGGCTGAACAGTTCAGGCCTAATACAGTACAGCGGTGTGGACTTCTACGATATATGGTCCCAGAACGAAGAGGATGTGACTCAGATGCGGCGCGACGGCATCCGGAGTGAGCCACGTCAGTTCGTAGACTAGTGTAGTAAGCACCGAATATTAGCTGAGTAAAATTATTTGACAGAAGCGGGTAGGTAAGAAAAAACAAAAAATACTTGGCGTGAACATGCAGGAAATATTGCTAATTGAGATTTATTCTTATCTGTAGGTATGGAGTATTTTTAGTAGCTACTCTCAAATTAATAAATACTTATGATTCCGTTATTTGGAAAATACCTACCTAGTTGGTTTTTAAGCATGGCACTTGATAGGTACACGTATTTCAACGTACTAAAGGTTAACTGGCAAAGAAAGGCAGTATGTTTAACAAATAAATGAAACAAATGGAAATCAGCGTTTAATTTTTGGTTTAAAAAACAAATAACGTATAATAATAATATTAAATAAAATAAATAAAAATGTGATTCATTCGCATTCTTCACTTTCTTCGCTTTCCTCGCCACCAAATTCCTGCGCATCCACCGTCGCATTTTGGTATTGCTGGTACTCTGCTATCAAGTCGTTCAGATTGTTGTCAGCTTCAGCAAAATCAGTCTCGTCCATACCTTCTCCGGTGTACCAATGGAGGAAAGCCTTCCTTCTGAACATCGACGAGAACTGATCCGAAAGCCTCTTGAAGACCTCTTGGATTGCTGTCGTATTACCAACAAATGTTGCCGACATCTTCAAGCCCCTTGGCGGCACATCGCAAACAGCAGTCTTAACATTGCTCGGTATCCACTCCACGAAGAAGTCTTTGTTCTTCTTCTGAATGTTCAGCATTTGCTCGTCGACCTCTTTCATGGACATTCTTCCTCTAAACACCGCAGCGACAGTCAAGTAGCGGCCGTGGCGAGGATCGCACGCTGCCATCATGTTCTTCGCATCGAACATCTGCTGCGTCAGCTCTGGTACCGTCAGCGCTCGGTACTGCTGACTGCCCCTCGATGTTAGTGGAACAAATCCTGGCATGAAGAAGTGCAGTCGCGGGAACGGCACCATATTCACTGCCAATTTCCTCAAATCGGCATTCAATTGTCCAGGAAACCGCAAACAAGTGGTCACTCCTGACATCGCAAGGGACACCAAATGGTTAAGGTCTCCGTATGTAGGAGTTTTTAACTTCAAGGTTCTGAAGCAAATGTCGTAGAGCGCTTCGTTGTCGATACAGTACGTCTGGTTGGTGTTCTCTATGAGCTGGTTAATAGATAGGGTTGCGTTGTAAGGTTCTACTACTGTATCTGACACTTTAGGGCTTGGGACGATAGAGTACGATACTGTGATACGGTCAGGGTACTCTTCAGTTAAATTGGCCAACAGCAACGTTCCCAAACCAGACCCAGTGCCGCCTCCCAACGAATGAACCAGCTGGAACCCTTGCAAGCAGTCGCAACCTTCAGCCTCCTTCCTCACAACATCGAGGACCGATTCAAGCAAATCTGCGCCTTCTGTGTAATGTCCTTTAGCCCAGTTGTTGCCTGCGCCTGAGCAAGAATAAACTATGTTGTCTGGTCGAAAGAGTTGGCCAAAAGGGCCTGCTCGGAGAGCGTCCATGGTACCAGGTTCTAGGTCGACCATGACGGCGCGAGGAACGTATTTGCATTTTGACCCTTCGTTGTAGTAAACGTTGATGCGTTCTATTTGGAGATCGGAGTCGCCGTGGTAGCAGCCTTCGGGGTCGATTCCGTGCTCGTCCGATATCACCTCCCAGAACTGAAAAAAATAAAATAAGCTGACAATGTTTGTGATGCATTTGATTTTGAGTTTTGGAAGCGTTTTATAGAACTTCACTATGGTTTCAGTTCTGTGGAGCTTACGATAAAGACGGGACAAAAAAGTGTTGTTCACTAACTTGACCTAAAGTAGGCATTTGTAATGTGTTTGTAATAAATGACTGTTCATTAACACCATACCTTTCCACCGATCTGATTCCCGCATCGTCCAACTTGGATGTGAACTATTTCCCTCATAGTTTACAAATGACAATAATTTAGCAAACACAAATAAATAAATTCAATATTCACAAAATATCTAAGACAAAAACAAATAATTGCCTAACCTACATCTACTTACTAAAAAACCTAACACATAATTAAATTAGAAATCTATATTGTTTCATAGCTACCCTGATGAGGAAAAAAATCGCGATGGCGTCTGTTGTACAGTCATGCACAACAGTGTTAAATAAATATTATTAAAAAAATCACATTTTACAAAATAATAATGAATGAAACAACAATTTATATTGAAATTTCTTTTAATAAAATTCATAATTCATACAATTATTGTACATAATTACAACATTACGTCATGTATCCTATAAAAATGCAATGTGATAGTATAAAAGTTTCTGAATAATTTAAAATGCACGTTTTATATGAAAGGAAGACATGTGACATTTTGTTAAAATCCAAAAGATTATTTTATTCAATTAAAAAGAGCTGGTATGAGTGTTTTTGTTCACTCTCTTGCTGACGGTTTAAAAAAAAAGGTACAGACAAACTAAACACTGTGTATAATGTATCTTGTAGTAGTAATAATTGGTGCTATTTTACATCAAACACGTATTATAATATGAAATAGAAAATTTATGTGGCAAATTATTAATTTTGAAAACAAAAAAAACATCTAAGAACAGAGGCAAAAATTCGATATTAAGGCTGGGTTGCACCATCTTACGTTAACTTTGACAAACGTCAAAAATCTTTCTAATTCCATACAAAAAGCTCCGGTTATCGTTTGGTTACGGTCAAAGTTAGGTGGTGCAACTCAGCCTAAGATATGACGTGTCAATAAGTCACCTTTTGGAAATCGGTATGGTCTTAATCTAACAATTAACAGCTAAGTACATAAATTAACGTAAATTATTGCACTAAAACAAGCTCGCATTTGGTATAAAATTGAAAAAACTCGTTAGATGACTAGCATCAATTTACATTTAGTTTAGTTTATTCTATTATAATAATTTGTTTTTGCTGAATTATTAATCCTGAACAATATTAAATATGTTTTCATCATAAATAAAATAACTATACATTATAGAAGATATAAAGTGGTTGGTTAAGCCTAGGCGCAGACCATCGATTTTTCGTCGGCCGATAGTTTAGTCGGGCAGTTGATCAGTATGGGCATGTATGGAGGTGCGCACATTACACCGATTCGATTTGGCCGATTCTTCATACAATTTAAAATCGGGCACAACTATCGGCCAAATAAAAATCGGTGGTCTGCGCCTAGTCTAAACCGATGGGAACTTCTACTAGTGATAAAACTCAAAGCTTTATTTGTCTAAAATTTGTTGTTTCATGCATTCGTTATAAATATTCACAATTATATTCGTTACCTTATTCTAAGTTTACCCATGATTCGACTACTCTCTTTGCTATTACAACGAATGACAAAATTATCATTGTACCAATTTACGCTGTTCCATTTTTGTTTGTTTTTTAATGTAAAATACAGTGATAACCTAAATTCGACCTTATTTACATGATATGTTTGCGTGTAATTTTAATTATACATCTTTCACAACTTGTCTGTCTCACGCGAACACATTTCCATATAACTATAGTTGCTGATCGAAAGCGAAGGACAATCGTAGTCTCATCGAAATTTACGATTTTAACGAGTCGATCTATCGTTTGGCAGAACTAGGTACATGTAATCTTTTGAAACTTTTTGTTTTGTAAATTATTGTCTATAGAAAAAAATGAGAAGATTATTTTGGTATTACAGTATAAAACTTTCACTGTCAGAAGTATTATCCGAGTGTCAGTCTCGTTGCTTATTGAAATTCAATTATTATATTGATTAATTAGTATGTACTTACTTAAATTATTATTTGTGTGAATCTAATCTGACATCGAAAAAATGGCCACTAAACAAAAGTAGTTTGAAAACATTTTTCGGAAAAAATATTTCAAATATGCTTTACAATAGTATTTACAAACCTCTAAGTTGACTTAGGTTTTATACAGTGCAAAGATTTGTTAGTTATCTATAATTACCATTGATGGACTGAATTACTGCACCATCACTTCAATCGAGAAGTTTCTTACTTTCTTTACCCGACTTAGGTCCACCAAGATATTCAATGGCCAATCAAATTTGAACCCAATTCCTATGCAAATAGCATTTTATTCCTTAACAGATACAAATTAGCGTAAACGTTATGTTTGCTTGACAATATCGGGACGTAGAAAGCTCTGAAGACTTGGTGCGATTTCTCCGCGTCGAGTATAGGAACTGAGTCTATGGTTTCCCATAGCGGGTCTTTATGGTAGAACGGCTGTAGTGGTGTGGGTTTTCCGATGTCGGAATCGACGAGGTAGTGGCACTGAGACGGTTGGACGTAGGTTCGGTTATCCCCTTGGTTTAGGTCGTTGAAGTATGGATGGATGAGGCGGGTCGCTGTGAAAGATAGTGGATATTAGCAAAAATATCTGTTTAATGTAAATAAAGATTTAAACCGGTAAAAAAATCAATTTTTTTAACCAGATTATAATTAACTTATCGATTGATATGCTTTGTTTTTTTTCTGCAATATAATCAAATTAATAAAATTTCAGACAATATACAGTCCATACAATAAGGAGAAATATTCAAAAGCCAAAACAGTCAGTCTTACATCATAAAAATAAAAAAGAACTATCAATTTTACACATGCAGCCGAACCCACTGCGAATTAGGTCGGATAGGTGTGTCAAGTTTGGTAATTGATACTGTCATTAAATTGAGATTTGAGACACTTTTATGAATGCACAAGATGCTATAGATATTTTTTATTCCAAATGAAACAGTGATATTACTTGTTCGCATACAACGTACTACGCGGTTAGGAACAATTTTTTAATTTTTTTAAATAGTATCGATTCTAGACCATTCTTATTTTACACTTTCTTAATCATTGAGCTTCTAGAGCAAAGATGCCTAAAATTCCATGAAATAATATCGATTAAAACAACAAACGATCAATGCCTCAATGTTTTACTTCCATAGGCAACTGCGAACACAAAGGAAGAATGAATGAATCTATACTAATATTATAAATGCGAAAGTAACTCTATCTGTCTGTCTCTCATTCACGCCTAAACCACTGCACCGATTTTGATGAAATTTGGCATAGAGATAGTTTGAGTCCCGGGGAAGGACATAGGATAGTTTTATCCCAGTTTTTGAAACAGGGACGTTCGCGATAAAGTTTTTCTGTGACAGACAAAATACCATGCGGGCGAAGCCGCGGGCGGAAAGCTAGTATTTAAATAACTTACCATTTTTCGCATCAGCGTACGGCGCAGGCAGCTGTCCATTAAATTCGCTGGGTATGAACCGTATCTCGTAGTTCTCAGGCAGGTGGAAACTGGACGGGGACCGGTACCATTCCTTCCCAAAGCAGACGTACTCGGTATCGGTGGTTTCGGGGAGCGATCGTAGTATACGCATCGGCCCGTGGTAGTTGGTGTATAGCGCTCCGATGCGGGATAAGCCTGATTCGAAATAAAATAATTATAAATAATATAAATAAATAATTTGTTTCTGTATATAACTTAGCCTAGATAAGTACACGTTTGGTTTCAATTAAAATTAGTGTAATAATAATAATAATAATAATAATAAATACACTTTATTGCACACCAAACAAATAACATAAAAGAAGAAAAGGAACACACAAGGTACAATTAGGCGGTCTTATCGCTATGAAGCGATCTCTTCCAGACAACCTATGGTGAGGACAGTTACTTGAAACAAATATGAAGGGGTAGGCGGTGTCGACACTAAAGAAAGAAATTATAATAAAAGGCATACAATTTAAAACAAAATAATACATACAAATAATACACAAAATATATTAATATATATATATGTACATATATAAATTATAATATATACTTACATACAGTAGTGTAGTAATTAATAATACCTAAACTAAGCAAAATATTTTGCCTGTATCTTAGTTATCTATTTTAAAAGTGCTTACTAACAGTATGAAAATATTAATGACAAACTAAAAACAAATACATTTACTGCTAAACTAAAACTTAACAACTAGGTGAGCATTATTTTTACAGTGACCTAAATTATGTAATTATTACAAGTTACAGTTTTCTGCGTCTGTGTAAACAAATAACAAGATTGCGAGTTACGTATTCCTGATTCTTACTCTTATAAAGAGTCAATCTTTGTACAATACCGCAGCGTTAGGCTCCCTCATAGTCAATTGAGCTGATATATCTTGATTTATTTTTAATTATGAATATAATAACAAATATAATCTTTGGACAATCTTTTTGACAAACAAAGCAAATTGCTGAATAAATAAGATATACGTCATAAAGGCAAGCCGCACGGTAGCGCACGCTGAGTCCCTGTTCCCCGAAATGGCGCGTTACGTCACAATTGAGTAGATTTTTTACTCAAAAGTTACGTCACGCGACATTTCAACTCAATATGTAATTATTCGATTATGAAAAAAATAATTAAAACATGTGTCCAAAAGACAATGCCGGAAATTGGCGTCTTTTTTTTATNGTGGTAAGTTTTATATGTGCTTCGGCGTTTTGATGAAGTGCCGAAGTTAGCCGAGTGGTGTAGAGATCCGAAGTTCAAACTTCAGAATGCTTCAAGCACTTTGACTCGGGCTCTTTACCGACAACAAACGGAAGTCTGACGAGGCGAAGTAACTCGAAGCGAAGTTCATGTCCACACTATCTATTTCAGCCAACTTTGCGAGTAATGTAGCTGAGGAGGTATTCCTCGAAACGCACCTATTTTGAGGCGCACCTACTGAAGCGCACCTAAACTATTCCTTAGCGCGCCTATGTTTATTATTACTATAAATATTTCGAAGTGTATGTCTACTAAGATGAATAAAAAGTACCAGGGCAACATAACATAGGTGCTAGCTGAGGTATAAAGCTTGGACGAGGAAGCGATATGCGAGCTAGGGGCGGAGGTGGGGGGCGCGGGCGGCTCGCACGCGCTCGTGCCGATGGACTTTGATCCTTCGGAACTGGTCACAAGGGACGCCGAGGCTGTAACTGTGTTTTGGGTGGTAAGTCATACGTCACTCGCTTCGGCGCTTCGAAGTAAGTTTAAAGCGTGTCTATACTGTGTACGTGGTCGGCCGCGGGCGCGGGCGGCTCGCACGCGCTCGTGCCGATGGACTTTGACCCTTCCGAGCTGGTAACAAGGGACGCCGAGGCTGTAACTGTGTTTTGGGTGGTAAGTTCTTGATACGTCACTCGCTTCGGCGCTTCGAAGTAAGTTTTAAGAGCGCGTCTATACTATGTATGTGGTCGGCCGCGGGAGCGGGCGGCTCGCACGCGCTCGTGCCGATGGACTTTGACCCTTCCGAGCTGGTAACAAGGGACGCCGAGGCTGTAACTGTGTTTTGGGTGGTAAGTGTTTATTTAATACGTCACTCGCTTTGGGGCTTTAATGAAGTAGCGAAGTTAGCCGAGTAGTGTGTTCAAACTTCAGAACGCTTCAAGCCCTTGGGACTCGGGCGCTTTACCAACACGAATCGGACGTTGGGAGAAGAGTGAAGTGTCATTCGCTTCGGCGCTTCGAAGTAAGTTAAGAGCGCGTCTGTACTATGTTCTTCTGCCAACATCGCGAGTAACGTAGCTGAGGTATGAAGTTTGGACGAAGAAGCGATATGCAAGCTAGGGGCGGGCGGCTCGCACGCGCTCGTGCCGATGGACTTTGACCCTTCCGAGCTGGTCACAAGGGACGCCGAGGCTGTAACTGTGTTTTAGGTGGTAAGTTCTTGATAGGTCACTCGCTTCGGCGCTTCGAAGTAAGTTAAGAGCGTGTCTACACTATGTACGTTGGCGGCCGCGGGCGCGGGCGGTACGCACGCGCTCGTGCCGATGGACTTTGACCCTTCCGAGCTGGTCACAAGGGATGCCGAGGCTGTAACTGTGTTTTGGGTGGTAAGTTCTTGATACGTCACTCGCTTCGGCGCTTTTATGAAGGGCCGAAGTTAGCCGAGTGGTGTAGAGATCCGAAGTTCAAACTTCAGAACGCTTCAAGCACTTTGACTCGGGCTCTTTACCGACAACAATCGGAAGTCTGGCGTGGCGAAGTAACTCGAAGCGAAGTGCATGTCCACACTATCTATTTCAGCCAACTTTGCGAGTAATGTAGCTGAAGAGGTATTCCTCGAAGCGCACCTATTTTTGAGACGCACCTACTGAAGCGCACCTAAACTATTCCTTAGCGCGCCTATGTTTATCATTACTATAAATATTTTGAAGTGTTATAAAGCTTGGACGAGGAAGCGATATGCGAGCTAGGGGCGGAGGTGGGGGCCGCGGGGGGCGCGCTGGCGGCCGCGGGCGCGGGCGGCTCGCACGCGCTCGTGCCGATGGACTTTGACCCTTCCGAGCTGGTCACAAGGGATGCCGAGGCTGTAACTGTGTTTTGGGTGGTAAGTCATACGTCACTCGCTTTGGCGCTTCGAAGTAAGTTAAGAGCGCGTCTATACTAAGTATGTGCGTTGTTCAACTTCGCGAGTAATATAGCTGAAGTATGAAGCTTGGACGAAGATGCGAGCTAGGGGCGGGCGGCTCGCACGCGCTCGTGCCGATGGACTTTGATCCTTCCGAGCTGGTCACAAGAGACGCCGAGGCTGTAACTGTGTTTTGGGTGGTAAGTTCTTGATACGTCACTCGCTTCGGCACTTTGATGAATTGCCGAAGTTAGCCGAGTGGTGTAGAGATCCGAAGTTCAAACTTCAGAACGCTTCAAGCACTTTGACGACTTTTCTTCTGCCAACATCGCGAGTAACGTAGCTGAGGTATGAAGCTTGGGCGAAGAAGCGTTATGCGAGCTAGGCGCGGGCGGCTCGCACGCGCTCGTGCCGATGGACTTTGACCCTTCCGAGCTGGTCACAAGGGATGCCGAGGCTGTAACTGTGTTTTGGGTGGTAAGTTCTTGATACGTCACTCGCTTATGATGATGATGATGATGATGATGATGACGCACCTCTCCTCCTTGTGTGGCTGCGGCATGAAGACGGCCAGCCACAGCGCGAGCGGCATGAGGTCGAGCCAGTAGGGCGAGCAGAAGTGATGATGATGATGATGATGATGATGATGACGCACCTCTCCTCCTTGTGTGGCTGCGGCATGAANACCAAACTTTGTTTTTTGATTACAAAATAGTGTAATAAACCAAACTTACTATGACATGTATACCTCTAAACTCAGTCTGAACTGAGTTACGAGCATTAGAAGTTTGATGATTTTCATACTAGATTTGCTTTTTGCGCGCAAAGTTTTGTAAGAAATTGCAACAAAATAGTGAGATTGTGTGTGTAAACAAACAACATCATCCATTAAAGGCTCCAGACATCAGTATGGAGCAGAATCAGCGCAATAAAAAAATAGCGCAATATTTTGTTGCAATTTCTTACAAAACTTGCGCACAAAAAGTAAATCTAGTATGAAAATCATCAAACTTCTAATGCTCGTAACTCAGTTCAGACTGAGTTTAGAGGTATACATGCCATAGTAAGTTTGGTTTATTACACTATTTTGTAATCAAAAAACAAAGTATGGTCGATGGCCGCGCGAAAAAAAAAAGACGCCACTTTCCATACTAAATCTGGCATTGCCATTTTTTTTATTATCTGTCTGACGGACTAAATAGAACTTCGATTTCATTACCCAGTCATCACCCCTATCATGCTTCAGCAGTAGACATTAAATAAAAATCTTGATGATGATGACAATGTCTCAGTGAAATCTAAAAACTCCTCTTTTATCGCAATAATACGCTTTCAGGATATCAGTGTCCCAACACTAGTTTTTAGCGGCCCAACGAAACTTTTTAAATTACGTTTGAATTAACTGCTTTGTAGTTTGACATCAGTTTCAACTTCCAGAAGCAAGTTAATACGGTCATCACAAAAATCGGCCCACCTACGTTTTACAGGAAAACTCGTTTCTACTGACACAATCATGGTGTCCCAACAATATTGGTGTTATTTGAAAGCTCAATAAATATCCTTAAAGAAAAACACATTTAATTTCCTGATAAACGATTAACATATACAATTAATGTGACTTGAAAAACTTGAAAAAAGACCTCACTTTGGGCTCACCTCTGGGATCAATTAGACCAATTTTTATGGTTATAAAACCAAATAATGATCTCACGTGTCCTCTTTAACAGATGGATAGCGATTAATCCCAACTTAACAGTTTTATAGCCATAAAAGTTGGCTCAAGCGTAACTACCTATTTTTTGAAGAAGTGACTCTGGATTCTTCTACAGACACATTTTTGGGGTAAAAACCTGTCCTTTAATGAAATGAAGTTTAGAACTAGGCTTTTAAATGGTAATATAGTATAGTAATATTGGTGGGAAGTGGGGAAGCATACGTTTGAAAGTGCTTGTCGCGGGTGGGTCGATTTTTATGATGACCAGAGTATTATTGGACCTTAAGGCAACGTAGTAAGATCCAAAACAAACTAGTAAATAACGCCTTACGCCTTTCAACTCACCCAAAGTCCCAGTCCAAATAATACAGATGATCATGATCTGGCCAGTATAAGCCAGGTAGTGCCGTCTCTCTCGCTCCTTCCGCCACTGGAATAGCTCCGTCCCTACCGCGAAGGTCATCTTTTGTAAGCAGTCAAACGCTATGGCACCGGCCAGGACGATTAGACTGTATGCTGGGTACAGGAATCTGAAACGTGTTACGTAATAAATAACGATCATTGTGGAAAAAATATTTTATACAAAGTATGTTAAGAATCTACGATTGTAATGTAAATGAATGGTAAATTCTGTGACTCTTATATAATGCAAATTGATAAGGACTGGAATTGGACAGCAGAGGTCTCAGAATGCCCCCTGAGGAACTCCGAGGCCCCAGAATGTTACCATGAACTCCGCTGTTTTAACCGAGCAGATCAAACGATTGCGGCTCTTGAGATACATTATTGGAAAGCAGGTAGGAGACCAATTTACAGATTGGTTTTTAAGATTAAGATTTGAAGATTGCTAAAATCTTTGGATTGTAGAACGAATATGGAAATCGGGCGAAGTGTTAACTTTCAAGGAACATTAACTATGATTTGTTCTTCCTTCGGCTATTTAAGTGTATTGTTACCCCTAACGGGAAGTTTTCGTTAACAGCACGGCTGGTGATGTTCTGAATCTGATGATATACCTCTGTTCCTAATTAATACAGTTGCATCATGAAGACTACCAGCGAGAGTGATGATGATGAGGTCGAGCCAGTAGGGCGAGCAGAAGTGATGATGATGATGATGATGATGATGATGACGCACCTCTCCTCCTTGTGTGGCTGCGGCATGAACACGGCCAGCCACAGCGCGAGCGGCATGAGGTCGAGCCAGTAGGGCGAGCAGAAGTGCGCTCTCATAGAACGGTGGTACATCGCGGTGCAAGCCAGGAGTAGCAGCGGACTGGATAGGGCTAGCACCTGGGGAACAGTATAAATAAACCTATATTTAGTGAGCTGCCACACTGGCGGATTACAAGCGTTTTTAAAGCGGAGCGGCGTCGCGTGTCTGCGACAGTGGCGCGTCTTTCCATTCTATACATAGCCAGAACGCAAGGGTGTGAAACTAATCGAGTATAGTTTGGATATGACTTTTTTATAAAATATGTAGATTCAGTAAAATAATAATATATTATGTAATAATTAATTAATTTAAAAATGGCATCACCGTACGTGATACTACATAGGTAGTTCTTATTTCTAATCTCGAGGACAAAGCACGAGCATAATAAATGTAATAATTTTAAATATAATTCCATATTTTACTAAATCAAATCAACTAAACACACTCTAGTCAACTGTAAGTGGTGTAGTATAGTTTGGAGCGAAGACGGAATCCATCCACGATACAAACTATACACGATCAGTACGCAAAATTCGTGTATAGTTTGTAGTGACCGATTTACAAAGGGACATTCCAAAATATACACGAGCAGTTTCCTATGGGTGCGTTCTGGCCATGTATAGAACGGAAAGACGCGACAGTGGCGGATTGCAAGCGTTTTCAAAGCGGAGCGGCGCGGACGCTCCGTTTTGAAAACGCTTGCAATCCGCCAGTGTGGCAAGGCCCTTAGACCTTTTGATGCAAATGCACGAGAACTAAGATTCGAAACGACAAATTAATTTTGTGTTGATAGTCATTTATTGATCCATTTGGTCCATTTTTCGAAGGCTATATACAGGGTGTTTGGTAAATGGGTATATGAACCGACACTAGCCCATGTTAACATGGGCATGTTAAATGGTATGGTGAAGTCAGAAATTTGATATCATCATTTTAATTTCTTTAATTTTCATACAAAATAAATTTTATAAAATCCGATTTATATGAAAATTAAAATAATTAAAATGAAGATATCAAATTTCTGACTTCACCATACCATTTATATGCCCATGTTGACATAGGCTAGTGTCGGCTCATATAACCATTTACCTAACACCCTGTATAAGCATCACATATTAAAATCACGCCACGAACCGCTAGGAGCGGAGCGTCAATGAAAAATGTTGCAGAAACGGGATAAGTTATTCAAATAATTTTCACGCGTACGAAGTCACGGGCACAGGTAAGTGAGATTCCACACAAGGTTCGACAGTGCGTTGCGTCGGCACTGCACATCTTATCAGTCTTATTTACAACATTATTTATCATCATCTAAATTCTAAACAGTACACTGCCACTCACCCAAACAACATTGAAGTTCAAGAACCCATTGACGAAGTAGTAAGTCCATGGTTCCACACCATACAAATCCGGTCCGTGGTCAGTGAATATGTTGTACGCCACAATATTCCATGGCGCCACCACCAGTCGGCCATAATGCCACGAGTCAATGATGACGGTGGGAGTCAGGATGACGATGAGGGAGATGGCCGACCACTTGAAGAACTCCACGTATTGCCGCTTTATGAAGAGCATGTCGATTGCTATGGGCACGCCTAGAAGCGCTGTGAAGGGCCAGCCTGGAAAATTAAGTAATTAAAAATTAATAAACTCGTTTATTAGAGAAGGAAAGTTAATACATAATTCGTCATTTTGCTATAGGAGTTTTTTTTAAGCAAAGCAAGGTATTTGACCACAATCGCACCTGGTGTTAAGTGGGATGCAGTCTAGGATGGTACATATCTGACTATTTATCATTTATAGTTAGTATGTTATATCGTTCATAACAACTGGAACTTTAAGGCTCCAGAATTAGGTCCAAATTTTGTAAAGCGGCGGCTTTTCCATGCACCCCAGTGTCTTAGAAAAGAAATGTACCGTACGAGTAGTAGTCGACATTGCTTCGTCTCGGCTGTTGCCTCCTTCAACTATGGGAATTGTCCATAGAAGTTGTTTGTTGGCTTGATTATCGCTGGTCGTTTTCAGCATGCCAGCCTGCCCTTATTATCACCATATGAGATGCCGACGGATTAGCAAGTTGAAGTGGCAATGGGCAGGGCACATATCACGCAGAACTGACGGCCGATGGGGCAGCAAAATTCTGGAGTGGAGGCCACGTAGACGTACCGCAGCGTGAGACCTTCTGCCCAGATGACCTCATACATTCATGATGATAATGAAGATGTACAGAATTTAGCTTGTATGCTTTACTAGATCGTCGGTCCACCTAGTAGGAGGCCTGCCCACGCTACGTCTTCCAGCCCGTGGTCGCCACTCGAGAACCTTTCAGACCCAACGGCCGTCGTCTCTACGAGCTATGTGCCCCGCCACTGCCACTTGATTTTAGCAATTCTGCGAGCTATATCGGTTACTTTGGTTCTCCTGCGGATCTCCTCATTTCTGATTCGATCACGCAGGGAAAATCCGAGCATAGCCCGCTCCATCGCCCATCGCTCCATTTGGGTGACCTTGAGCCTTTTTATGAGGCAGCAGTGTACTCACTTATGATCACGGAGGCGGCCGTCAGCGCCACGGCCGGTACAATTCTACGAGCTATATCGGTTACTTTGGTTCTCCTGCGGATCTCATTTCTGATTCGATCACGCAGGGAAACTCCGAGCATAGCCCGCCCCATCGCCCTTTGGGTGACCTTGAGCCTCTTTATGAGGCAGCAGTGTAATCGGCAAGACCTGGAGCGAGATCAAGCGCGAAACTCAAGACCGAACGCGATGGAGGACTGTTGTGGACGCCCTCTGCCCCATCTAGGGGACATAGGACCTTAAGTTAAGAAAGCTCAAGGTCACCCAAAGGGCGATGGAGCGGGCTATGCTCGGAGTTTCCCTGCGTGATCGAATCAGAAATAAGGAGATCCGCAGGAGAACCAAAGTAACCGACATAGCTCGCAGAATTGCTAAAATCAAGTGGCAGTGGGCGGGGCACATAGCTCGTAGAGACGATGGCCGTTGGGGCAGGAAAGTTCTCGAGTGGCGACCACGGGCTGGAAGACGTAGCGTAAGCAGGCCTCCTACTAGGTAGACCGACGATCTGGTAAAGGTCGCGGGAAGAGCCTGGATGCGGGCAGCGCAGGACCGTTCATTATGGAAAACATTGGGGGAGGCCTTTGTCCAGCAGTGGACGTCATTTGGCTGAAACGACAGGACCTTAAGTCAAGTAAGTCAAGTGTACTCACTTATAATCACGGAGGCGGCGGTCAAAGCCACGGCCGGCGGGTACCGGCGGCGCCACCAGCAAGCCAGTGCGGCGCCGCCCAACGCCAGGCTCCAAGCTGAAGGCAGCATGGCCGCGCCCGCCGCCCAAGCACCTGCCGCTGGGAGGGTGAAGAAGAGCCATAGCCGGCCTACGTGGACGCCGAACTCGTGGCATATGGCTCTGAGTGATAAATAAAATACAAATTCTTTTTTAACATAAACCAATAAGTACACACGCCCACACTGTTAACTATCCAATTCCGTTTTTGCTCTCGCTCAAATCAAATGGCGATTCTTTGCGATAGAACGAGATACGATAGACTTTTAATGGGCAGTTAACACTGTTGGCGATAGTACCTTCACTGGTCGGGTTTTTATTGGCAGTCAAGCTGTAGATCCTGGCTACACAGGAGTTGCAGCGGTGTGAACGAGAGGTTGAATAGTCCCGTTTATTACCATAAAAGTTCGGGAGCTTAAGATACAAATTCGAAGCCAAATACACACACAACAGTAGGCGACTTATAGATAGGTAAGTGGCAAAACTTGTGAGTTGAAATTTCAAAAGGTCTTCGCTCGGGCGTTTTTTTTTTGTAGAGAGTTACTTAGCTACGTGAAGGAATTAGATTTTCGGAGCGATGAAAAAGTGCCACTTGTTTAGGTAGGCTGGTTTCTATTTGTTTCTATATCTTCAGTGACGTGTCGAAGGGAACAGAAGAAATACATAAACAATCATAACATGGAACACACATAGTATAAGAACGAATTGCTATACTAACGCCAAAACGGGTCATTAAAAACTTATCTCCATGCAACTTGGTACTATTTATTGACTGTTTTGAAACTAAATAAAGGTAAAAAAACTTATTTTTTTCAATAATTATAATAGAAATTCCATAGAAAATCAATGAACTTGCTCAATAAACAAATTTCAACTTACTTATAAAACATAAGTTCGGCACAAGCGGTCAGAATAGCCAGGATGTGTCTCAGTGCGTAGAACACTGCAACCGGAGTCATCATTGTGGAGAGTATCTTGCCTGGGACTGCAAACAGCCAGAGAGGCATGTACGATCGGATCGCATACGCTGGACTGTACTCCCATGTTTGAAGACCATTTCCGTACACTGTAACATAGTAACAGGTGATTTGTACATGTTGAAGGGAAATTAGAGTAAAGATATTGTTAAAATTCATTGAAGTATTTATAATACTACTTTGTACTGCTTATGTTCATCAGGGATAATATAGGATTCTAATGTTTCAAATCGGTCCTGTAGTTTTGGAGCCTATTCAATACAAACAATGAAATCATTCCTATTTAGAAATATATGTGTAGATGTAAATATAAAGGTTAAAATATATTGCCCAACAGCAAATCTTGACCTCAAGTAGAAATAGTTGGAATAATAGAAATTGTCTCTAAAAGTAAAAACAAACCTAGGTAATGTAGAGGTTCCCAATAGTTGTAGGTCTCGTCACAATCCGATATGTGGCCGTATTGTGCTGACAAGAGCCGGACAGTGAGCAACAAAACTAAAGCCAATGCCCCACCCGGGTATCCTATGCTACGAAGATCTGAAGGTGCACTGGTCACGAGGTATTCTCTGTAAAATCAAAAAGATATGGTTGGGTTACACTATCTTACTTTAACTTAAACGAACATCAAACGCCTGTCAAACTCTACAAAAAACACAAGTTGTGGTTATAGTTACGGTTAAAGTAAAGTGGTGCAACTCAGCCTTATATCACATTCAATCCTTTGCTTGTTAAAAATATTGTTTTATTGTTTGAGGATTTATTATTATTCTCTACCAAGCAACTAAGGAACATGCAGAGTATAACAATGGTCTTTGTGTTCATCGAATTAATGTTGTGCCCCAAAAATATATCTATTTACTTAACGTAGAAATGGTTAACACTTCCTAAAAATGTTAAAAGATAAATGCTAATTATACAAAAGTTTTAGAACACACAAATGTAAAGAATGTTTTAAATTAACAAAAAATGTTGGCGGGATACACAAAAAGAATTAAAACGCGTCGTTTATCGTCAGCAAAGCGCTTTACCTTCGTCGGCGCGGCGGGCGTCTGGATAAACGCCAAACCAATGTGGTCAACAAAAAATAAAAAGAAGCGAAAGAACTGAGATTAAAAGCTTATCTATCAACGAAGCAAGATGTTCAAAACGTGTTTTAAGAACACAGAATACTTTGTTCGTGTTAATAACAAGCACTTTTCGTTCTTTTACCCTTCGCTAGCTTTTCTTTTCCCTTTGAAACTTGCACCCCTTTTAGCGCCATTCTTGTTGTGAATACTCCTTTGACGCGCTGTTAACGGCATCGGGAAAGCTAAATTACAAACGAATGCATCTAATAATAGCTAAGACGAGGTGAGATCTAATTTTCAGGCCCGGAAAATCGTGAAAACGCAAACCCAATTTCCACACGTACAACTTGACAAAAACTGAGCTGGCTACAGCTGTCAATATGACATTATGTTGACTGTTTACGAAGATAGTTGTTTCCACAAAAACCTCAGATAAAAGTCGCATCAGTAGAAAGGACCCTTAAATAAAAAAAACACACATTGATTGATTATGCAAAAAAAAAGAAAGTCAGTCAAGTCGTCCGTCAACTTCAATTTTGAGAGGTTACCCCAGATGTGAACGTGTGATTTTGGGTTTTGTTTACGAAAATACGAATTCTGTATTCTATTTAAACAAGTTTAAGTGAAAATATGTTGTACGACGATTTCAAACCTATAGTCGATTTGGTGTTAAATAACTGGACAGCCTTACAACTTGCGGTTGAACATGGCATGGGTGCACCAGGCGGGGAAAAAGTATGTAAATTTAAGTAAATTTAATATTAATTCGTTTAAATTAACAAAAAATAAGCTATAATTTCAAAAGAGATAACATACAATTTCGTTACAAATAAATTTCAATAAGCTTACCCTTACTCAAAAATCAACACTAACTTGTGCTATTTTATTTTGTAGCTTCTATAATTTAACCCAAATATTATAGAGATTCCAAAAATACTAAGAATAACGTTTTAACTTTCAGACTGCCCAGCTGATGTCAGTTTACATAGCAAGGTTTTGCGTGGAGAATGTAGTAGACATCCCAGAACTAACAGAAGTTATTGAGGATCTTATGGACGAAGAATTTGACACCGTATGCCATGACAACTCGCCAAAAGGTTTGTTGATTTTGTAATAACTTTGTTTTTAAAAATAGTTACTGAGTTTCTAGTGCTGCTTCTTCTCAACACTGGCCCATATTACTGTCCTGTCATTCTTGTGGCGGAGTTTTGGGCTGACACTGTGTAGGTTTATTGTCGACAGGACAAGAAGAAGAAAGTGCTTTTTGGGAGCTTACTTGCATAAATAAATTATTTAATTAAATTGATTTCATTTATAGTTTATTTAATTAAAAATCTGTGTGCTTAACCCTGACTGTAATTTACAGAAATAGCATCAGTTCTCCTTATGTTCCTGAGTTTGCTGAAGGAGGGCCAGCACGATGAGCTGAGAGCTAGAATCGAAGCTATGCCCAAGTGCCAGAAGTGGCTCAGTCAGCCGATACATGAATCAGTACCTCCTCAAGTAAGTTGTTACTACATGCATTATTTTACAGGTAAATGTAATTTAATTATAAACTACAGAGCTTCTCAGTGGGGTATTCTCTAAGGCAGTGGCCACCTTAGCTAGGCCCACTGGATTTCCAAAGGTTGATGATGAAATAATCTATACTAATATTATAAAGCTGAAGAGTTTGTTTGTTTACTTGAACGCGCTAATCTCCGGAACTGCTGGTCAGATTTGAAAAATTCTTTCAGTGTTAAATAGCCCATTTATCGAGGAAGGCTATAGGCTATACAACGTCACGCTGCGATCAATAACAGCAGTGCAACAATGAAAAATGTTGCGAAAACGGGTTTTCACGCGTACGAAGTCGCGGGCACAGCTAGTACAAAATATTTTAAAAAATGTTTTTAAAAAAATTAACATTTATTTATTAATAATCCAATCATTTCAGAACAATAACATATAACTTTAACATTAACACTAATATGCATATTACCACTTTCAGTACCATGGGAATCCAGATGACGACACAACTAGTAGCAGTGGAGAAGATGATGACCAAACAAATGGAGAAGTGGCTTCATCATCCCACCAAAATAACGAACCCGAACCAATGGATGAAGACGTTGAACCCGGCTGGACGGTAGTACGGACACGGAGGAGGAAATAGACTAGCAACACAATTAATCATATTATAAGTTTGTTATCAGTTTAGATTCACGATAGAAGAATGGATGAGACCATTTTGTTAGGTTCTGTGAAAAACCAGCTTAATGGCAAGCGTACACTTTGTGTGATAGTGGTTAGAGTGTAATGATTATGACACCTCTAGTCACCATTAGATGCTGAATAAATGTACAACAACTAATCAACTTAATACTGATATTTTTACAATAAAATTCTCTGGCACCTTACAAGCAAAGTAAATTGTGACAATTTGAAACAGCTGTGGATAGTGTTTAGTTTTAAATATAAAACTTTTTATTGATCAACAAAAGTAAATAATTCCTCAATCAAGTACCTACCGGTATAGATTTTATATGTATAGAAGTAGTACTTGCATTAAATAGAATGATTGTAATGTAATAATATTAATATGCTTGTTAAAGTGAATGTTAGCTAAATTGTGCTAGCCTTACTTAGGGTGCAACTTAGGATCATGCAATAAATATTATAGATATGTTTTGTATCTTGAATATGTATACTTTTTGCCTGTGAGAGTTAGACATCGATGTTTTAAATCATGATGATTTGTTGAACTAAAATATTTGAATTATAAACACCACATATCACTATTTACTGAGATTAGTTCGCCTGATTCATAATAACAATCAATGTACTTTTGTTTGTTTTGTTAGAAATAATAATTTACACATATTATTATGTACTTAGTATGTGAAGGTACAATTTATACATTTTTGTAGATACCTCAGGAGATGGAAACAATTTGGCATTCTCTCATCTTAATAAAATATAATATTCAAAGCATATTTTAAGATCTAAAAGTAAAAATTATAGAAATATAGTTTCCAATCGTCTATTTAATACCAATTCTGTGTAAGTAGATAAAATTATTTTTACTTCGTTGATATTTAGGTGCCTATGTACTAGTAGGTAAAAATGTTGCGTGTATTTATTTTTATTAAAGTAACGTATTTAAATGTTAATTGTCTTTTATTCCTATCATCCGAGCCCGAGGAAGGAAGCCCATCTGGTGCATTTATGCAAACGTTCAATGTGTTCTCTGTTTTACCAGAAATAGTTAATCAATCAATCAGAAGTACCCACAGTAGAGGCCCTGAGGCCGGTTGCTACTCATCTTTGAACGAAACGATTTTTCGCTGTAGTTCGACGGCATCGAGATCGGGCTTGTTGAAGTCAACGGGTGTCGGATTCACTATCTCGTCCATCGGTCCATCCAACCAGTCAGGAGACAACGGTTTCGAAATGATTGAACAAATTTCGCTGGCACCGGCGTCCTATGAAAAATTTTAACACCTTACTTTGGGGCTAGCTGGCGATGTGTGAAATTGTCCAAAGATTTATTTATTTATTTATGTTACAACCTTAGATTAATAAAACTTTTATTAATCTAAGGTTACAACAGTAACGTAAATTCAACGTATTTGATTGTTGCAAACCCCAGTCCGCCCCCGGTGAGATACCCTGGAATTTAATGTCTTTGATTTCTTTAAAATCAATTTGAATCGGTTTAGCAAGGAACAATGGAAAGAAGAGTTAATTATTTAAAGAAGAACGGTTCGGGCTCATACTAAGGATAAGGTTCGGGTCAACTAAATTCCTTGTTCCCCTGTTGTCCCCTCTATTTCAAACCTGGCTAAACTGTTAATCTCCAGTCAATAAACACATTTTTTGATTAAACGTTAAAATATGAAATGTCATAAATTTTGAATGAACGAATGGAGGAGGGAAAACGGAATTTTACAAGTTGTCAAATATTTTGTAAACATTTGGCGGAATTTTATTGTAAAAATGTCGTAAAACCTATTAATTTCTGCAAGTCTAATTAAAATTAATACGACCTTGGTGTATTCTTAAGCTGTTGAAAATGGGTGATGAAATTAAAGTTGCGTTTATAATACCGAAAGACTGTAACAGTGAAAATGAGTGCTCGGAAGACATGCAACTTGCTTTTGTTGTAAGTTTTATAACTTTTACTATACATTTCATGGCTGTTATTGCATATAACTAAAGCTAATTACTGTAATTATGATTAAAAGGCCTGCGAGCAGCATTGCGGGGGCGGTCTCACAGCCCAATGGATAAAAGAAAAATGTTGGAATTTCTTCACAGGACTAACGAAAAAAGATGTTTTCGTTATGTCCCAGTTCGAAGGCGAGTTGTATGATAAACTTAGAACAACAAAGTGTTTGTAAGTAAACTTTTGTTTATCCTAAAATGTGAATTAAATGATCAAAAACCAATATCTTTTTTCTAACCTTTACATGTTAAAGGTATTGCAGTGATAAGGTATTGCACATCTAGTGACTAGTCACTGAATATTATTTATTCAAAGAATACTAACATTTTATTAAAATCCTATAAAATGCATACCTATTGTTTGCTTGTTTTGTTTGTGAAGTAGTTTCACTCAACTTAGGTGGTGTTGTTTTTCTTTTACCAGAATTGTGGGTCCCAGATGTTTGTCATGTTGTCTAACTGAGGGTATACCCATACCCTCAGGCCCAGAGCCAATCTTCACTATAGCCATGAAAAGTCTTGTAATTACTGCAAGTGGACTGACCAAACAGAAAAAGGTATGATATGAAGTAATGTTGCAATAGTTCTGCCAATGGAATTTGGACTAAAAACATGTTAGCATTGAGTTCACAGGCGCGGATCCAGCCCTCAAAAAAGGTTGTGGGCACAGCCACCAAAAATTAGCAAAGTGAGAGTTTGATCACTACATGCCCGCACATACATACATGCCTATCGATCTTATCAATAGATCATAATTAAAACAAGCAAATTAGGGTTGTGGGCATGCCCACAGTTCCCACTACGGTGGATCCGCGCCTGTGAGTTCAGTTGCTTATAGCAAAGATAAATTTGTAAATAGTGCTGTATTTTTACAGGAAAATATAAAGAAAAAAGTCCACTGGATGGGAGGTCTATACAGTACAGTTTTAACTGATGACACTACACACCTTGTTTCCGATACTGTCCTTTCTGACAAGTATATTGTAAGTAACAAATCATTTACTCAATATTCCCTACTTACTTTTGATTTCAATTTTATTGCTTGATTCAGTTTTAAAATCTAATTAGATCTTAATATCGACGGCAGAAAGCGATTTTGTCGTATCTCAAAAAGTCCGATTTTACACCAGAGCAAAAAAACTGTTTTAAAAATTCATAAATCTTAAATTAAGAAAGTTAGAAAGCTGAAATTTCACATGTTTTGTCTACTAATTAAACTTTATTTAATAAAGGTGATTGGAATAATCTAGAGTTACTACTTCATTGACTTTTGACTAGTTACAGCAATTGATTTTTTAATGTCGAGCTGCAGAAATGTTGTATCAGGAAGGTAAAATGTATGGCTTATTTAAGTTGACTTCAATTCCCAGGCAGCGGATCTGCTGTATCTCAAAGAAACGATAAACTGTACAGGGCTATTTAGCTGTATGGACCTTATAATGAAATAACTTTCTACATTTGAAATGTTTTATCTACAATAAGAGTCAGAGATGTGAAAACAATAAAATACTGTATCTTTTTCTTAACTGTTTTATTTAAATTTTAAGAATGTAATGGCACAAAAAAATCAGTCTGTTTTTTAATTATAATAATCAGTCCGACAAAAATATTCTTCTTTATTAGTTTATCTCTCTTCTTCATTAATTTTAAGAAGCATACACTTTCTCTTTAAAAGTTTAACAATCAGCCTGCCATAGTTTTTCTTCTTCATTAGTTTCAACAATCAATCTGCTAAATTCAGTATTAGTTTTTAAACTAAATAAAAATAATCATCATGTTACTTTTCCTTCTTTGTTCATTATCACACAACATTAACTATAATAATAAAGAAATCGCAGTAAGGAACCATAGACTTGGCACGACTTTGTCTAGATTTCATTACTTTTTAGAGATAAACAAGCAGCTCCATCGAGACTTGGCTAGTTTTTTACAAAATGTTTTTGGTGGGATTCAATATTCCTTACTTACTTTTGATTTCAATTTTATTGCTTGATACAGTTTTAAAATCTAATTAGATCTTAAAATACAAGTAATTCCTTTATTTATCAGAAATCGGTAGAAAAAGGAATACCAGTCATGAGTGAGACATGGGTGGAAGCCGTTTGGGAGGCATCCATGAACATGAACATCAACGGTTCGTCGTCGGAGTTCGATAGCCACAAGTTGCCACCGTTTGCGAACTTGCAAGTCACCACGTCAGGCATTTCAAAGAAAGATAAACACATGATTATGAAGCTTGTGAGTGAACACGGTGGATCTTTTTCTGGGGCGTTCCAGAGCGAGACAACCGATGTGGTGGTGTTAACAAAGTAAGTCTCTTAGAAAAGCTTTCATTAAAAGTATCCTATTGATACACAGGTGTCTTAAAATGGGTGCATCAATTGCTATGAGAGAAAGCTTGGCTGATGCTTTATCAGACACACAAGAGATAAAATATAATAGTATGTTCATTTATTTTGTTGGGCTACCTTTAAGTGAGCTGTCACACTGGCGGATTGCAAGCATTTTCTAAGCGGAGCGGCCACGCATTCGAGTGAGCATATGCGAGGTTACTCGAGGCGGAAACGTTGCGCATCCGCGACGTGTTTGCCGCGCAGCCGCGACGTCTCTGCCGCGCAGTCGCGACAATTTCGCTGCGTGGCCGCTCCGCTTTGAAAACGCTCATAATCCGTCAGTGTGGCAGGACCCTTAATAAATAATAATATAAATATCTTTGGATAATCTCACACAGCGCCATCTAGCCCCAAAGTAAGCAATTAATATGCTTGTGTTATGGGTGCTAGCTTAACGGATATACTACTTATATACTTTTTTTTTTAATACATACATATTATACATAGTAACACCCCGACCCGTCACAGAAATTAAAATTCATCATTTCAATTTCTGCCCGGCCGGGAATCGAACCCGGGACCTCTCGGCATAGTAGTCCGTTCTGAACCACTACACCAAACGGCCGACTATTAGACCCTTATCTACTTATCTTTATTTACAGGGAAGGCATAGGCAGTGAGAAGTACAAGGCAGCCCTAGAGTACGGCAAGGCGTGCGTATTACCGTCGTGGGTCAAAGACTCGGCGGCGCGCGGCGTGTCGCTCCCGCTGACGCAGTACCGCGTGTGTGGCGCGTCTACGTCGTCGCCGCTCGCCGAGCACCGCGCGCCCGACATGAGTGAGTGACGTAGCGTGTGACGTCACACGCAGTAGGCGGCGCTAGAGCACGGCAGGCGTGTGCACCGCGCACCCGACATGAGTGAGTGACGTAGCGCGTGACGTCACACGCGCAATAGGTGGCGCTAGAGCACGATAGGCGTTTTCACCGCGCGCCCGACATGAGTGAGTGACGTGTGACGTAACCAACCTTCAAGTGAGTACGGCTCGTCCACAGTCATCGTATCTGGCTGCGAGCTCTTGAATCCGACTGCGAGCCGCCTTCGTGCTCGCAGTGATACCGCCACTCGGCGGGTCGCTGCGATCTCCCTGCGAACCACGCGCGAGCAGCTCGCAGCGGGCTCGTGCCTATGTACTCACTTGATACAGTGTCTGATACATTACATGCTACACGGCTAGATGAGTACTCTAGAGTACTGCCCGCGTGGGTCAGAGACTCGGCGGCGAGTTCACGTCGTCGCCGCTCGCCGAGCACCGCGCGCCCGACATGAGTGAGTGACGTAGCGTGTGACGTCACACGCGCAGCAGGCGGCGCTAGAGCAATAAGAGTGGGTCAGAGACTCGGCGGCGCGCGGCGTGTCGCTCCCGCTGGCGCAGTACCGCGTTTGTGGAGCGTCTACGTCATCGCCGCTCGCCGAGCACCGCGCGCCCGACATGAGTGAGTGACGTAGCGCGTGACGTCACACGCGCAGTAGGCGGCGCTACAGCAGTATAGTCTGGCCTGTGAGCACGTAGAATTTTGTCCAATGACTCGCACACTCACTGCGGGCGCCCGTCGCACAGTCGCGATAGCAATATAATTATGCGCGAGCGATAAGGATGGGTAGCTTGGGGTCATTGGACAAAATTCTACGTGCTCACAGACCGGGCTTTAGGCGTGGGTCAGAGACTCGGCGGCGCGCGGCGTGTCGCTCCCGCTGGCGCAGTACCGCCTGACATGAGTGAGTGACGTAGCATGTGACGTCAGACGGGCAGTAGGCGGCGCTAGGCAGGGTACTCACCTGCCATGTAGCACGTAACGTAGCATGTGACGTAACCAACCTTCAAGTGAGTACGGCTCGTCTACGGTAGGGTTGCCATAAGTGTGGGGACTCAGACGGGGACATTTAAAGAAAAACTATTAAAGGTAGAAAAAAGGAGCTTTTATTACAACAATAGGTATTAATCAACATTAACCAAAGTATTAAGTATCTGTCAACATTTTTTAATTAGCACACGTTCCCCCTTAGTCTTACTAATATAATGGTTGTATATAGAGATGGGTTTCCACCCGGGTAAAAACCCACATGAGGGTAAAAACCCAATAAAAACCCGTTTCATTCCACCCGTGGGTGTTTACACCGGGTGAAAACAAATAATTTTATAATTATTTCAATTGGTATCTTTTNTCGATATACAAGTAATTCCTTTATTTATCAGAAATCGGTAGAAAAAGGAATACCAGTCATGAGTGAGACATGGGTGGAAGCCGTTTGGGAGGCATCCATGAACATGAACATCAACGGTTCGTCGTCAGAGTTCGATAGCCACAAGTTGCCACCGTTTGCGAATTTACAAGTGACCACGTCAGGCATATCAAAGAAAGATAAACACATGATTATGAAGCTTGTGAGTGAGCATGGTGGATCCTTTTCTGGAGCGTTCCAGAGCGAGACAACTGATGTGGTGGTGTTAACAAAGTAAGTAGAAAAGCCTTCATTAAAAGTATCCTATTGATACACAGGTGTCTTAGAATTCATGCATCAAACTGCTATGAGAGAAAGCTTGGCTGATGCTTTACCAGACATGCAAAAGATAAATTATAATAGTATGTTCATTTATTTACTTAGCTGTACCTTTAAATGAGCTGCCACACTGGCAGATTGAAAGCGTTTTCTAAGCGGAACGACGACGCGAAGCGGAAACATTGCGCATCTGCGACGTTTTCGCTGCGGGGCCGCTCCGCTTTGAAAACGCTCGTAATCCGCCAGTGTGGCAGGGCCCTAAACTACTAATCATTATTTACAGGGAAGGCATAGGCAGTGAGAAGTACAAGGCAGCCCTAGAGTACGGCAAGGCGTGCGTATTACCGTCGTGGGTCAAAGACTCGGCGGCGCGCGGCGTGTCGCTTCCGCTGGCGCAGTACCGCGTCTGTGGAGCGTCTACGTCATCGCCGCTCGCCGAGCACCGCGCGCCCGACATGAGTGAGTGACGTAGCGTGTGACGTCACACGCAGTAGGCGGCGCTAGAGCAATAAGAGTGGGTCAGAGACTCGGCAGCGCGCGGCGTGTCGCTCCCGCTGGCGCAGTACCGCGTGTGTGGCGCGTCTACGTCATCGCCGCTCGTCGAGCACCGCGCGCCCGACATGAGTGAGTGACGTAGCGCGTGACGTCACACGCGCAGTAGGCGGCGCTACAGCAGTATAGTCTGGTCTGTGAGCACGTAGAATTTTGTCCAATGACTCGCACACTCACTGCGGGCGCCCGTCGCACAGTCGCGATAGCAATATAATTACGCGCGAGCGATAAAGATGGGTAGCTTGGGGTCATTGGACAAAATTCTACGTGCTCACAGACCGGGCTTTAGGCGTGGGTCAGAGACTCGGCGGCGCGCGGCGTGTCGCTCCCGCTGGCGCAGTACCGCGTTTGTGGAGCGTCTACGTCATCGCCGCTCGCCGAGCACCGCGCGCCCGACATGAGTGAGTGACGTAGGGCGTGACGTCACACGCAGTAGGCGGCGCTAGAGCAATAAGAGTGGGTCAGAGACTCGGCGGCGCGCGGCGTGTCGCTCCCGCTGGCACAGTACCGCGTGTGAGGCGCGTCTACGTCATCGCCGCTCGCCGAGCACCGCGCGCCCGACATGAGTGAGTGACGCAGCGTGTGACGTCACACGCGCAGTAGGCGGCGCTAGGCAGGGTACTCACCTGCCATGTAGCACGTAACGTAGCATGTGACGTAACCAACCTTCAAGTGAGTACGGCTCGTCTACGGTCATCGCGTATCTGTCTGCGAGCTCCTGAATCCTACTGCGAGCCGCCTTTGTGCTCGCAGTGATACCGCCACTCGGCGGGTCGCTGCGATCTCCCTGCGAACCACGCGCGAGCAGCTCGCAGCGGGCTCGTGCCTATGTACTCACTTGATATACAGTGTCTGATACATTACATGCTACACGGCTAGATGAGTACTCTGCTCTAGAGTACTGCCCGCGTGGGTCAGAGACTCGGCGGCGAGTTCACGTCGTCGCCGCTTGCCGAGCACCGCGCGCCCGACATGAGTGAGTGACGTAGCGTGTTACGTCACACGCGCAGTAGGCGTGGGTCAGAGACTCGGCGGCGCGCGGCGTGTCGCTCCCTCCGGCGCAGTACCGCCTGACATGAGTGAGTGACGTTGCGTGTGACGTCACACGCGCAGTAGGCGGCGCTAAAGCACGGCAGGCGTGAGCATCGCGCGCCTGACATGACTGAGTGACGCAGGCGACGTGTGACGTCACAGCTGCACAGCACGGGTGAAAGATATTGCAGTGAGGGACGACAAATGTAACAGTGCAGTCAAGGCATACGATTTCAGCCGCGCAGGATTTAACGAAGCAAAAAGGTGCAAGAGGGTTGCCTCCTGTACCATTCTTCTACCACAGGAACCTACTCCGTTATGCGCTATGAATGGAGAATACATTTTTGTTACAAAAAAGCCTCTAAGTACACAACAAGAAGAGTACCTACATCCAATAAGATCTTACAGGTCTAATAAGGATTCTTATATTAAAGAACCTTATATTTTGTTTCAGGCCTGAACTTCTCACGTATTACTAATTTGCGACCGCCCAGTAATTTTGTTGATGAAAGTAGAGCGACAGACATGTCTACATTATCAGGAAGAATGAAGGTAAACTTTATCTACTTGTATCATTATAATATAATACTTTTACCTATTTTTATTGCATAAATTGAATGTTTTGTATTTTTTAGCTGTCTCAAGAGACTTCAAAGAAATCAAACGATTCATCGCTAGTTGATAAGGAAATTATAGCTGCATTTGAGAATTTCGACGTCAGTTACATAAAGAAGGCTGGGCCTATCTTTGACGGATTTTGCGTAAGTAAAATGTATTTTCCTCTTCGTCTCCTTCAGCACCATCATTGTAACAGCTCAAGTATTTCGAAGCCACGATAGCCGAACGGTGAAGGGGTCGGACTGGCTGACTCGTCATCCGAAAAACGCGGGTTCGAACCCCGCTGACGCTCGACTATTGTGGTGAGCTTACTCATGATACAAGCATATTTAAGCTTAGTACGAGGGGCTAACGGGACTATTAAAAAAATTGTTTTCCTCAAGACCAAAGGCTCAAACGATGGTCCTTCGAGCCGGATTTCAAACTTGTTTTTCAAGATGTTGCCATAAGTGTGGTAGTAGGGTAGGGTACACTGAAAACCAGCGCCGTGGCCTTCGTCACCGTGGGCCACGGCATATGCTGAGTGGGGTCCCGTTGCAGTGGGCATCTTGTTGGCGAAAGAGTGGCACTGCTCAGTTTACTCTTGTTTTTATTTTTTTCTTCTTCCATTATTATGTGCCACTGTCATGTCTATGTAATTGCCTGTATATTTGTGTGATGTCCATTGTCATAAATGTATCTTTCTTTCTTTCTATATACGCCTTTTCTTTTTAGATTTGGGTGACCGGCCTCGAAGGCACTTGCCGCGAGAAAGCCGTGGCTTGCGTGTCTCGAGGCGGCGGCGTCCGCTACGACTGCCCGCACGAGCGCGTCACGCACGCCGTCGCCGGCAGTAAGGCCGCGGCCCTAGCGGCCCAGCGCGCGCTGCCCGCTGTATGCGTACTGAGCCCGCTGTGGCTGGTCAACAGCGTCATGGCCGGCCAGGGGCGGCCGCTGGACGAGGCCGAGGTGAGTGCCCGCGTGTGACGTCATCAGAACCGGCCCGCCGTGTGTACTGAGCCCGCTGTGGCTGGTCAACAGCGTCATGGCCGGCCAGGGGCGGCCGCTGGACGAGGCCGAGGTCAATGCGGGCACTCACAGTGGACTGTGTGACGTCACCAGCCGCAGCGAGTGCCCACTGTGTGACGTCACGCGCCCTTCGCCGGCAGTAAGACCGCGGCCCTAGCAGCTCAGAGCGCGCTGTCCGCGGTGTGCGCTGCTCTGTGACGTCACTCGCCGCCCAGTGTGTGACGACCGTATCATAAATCAATAGGGTTGGCAGTTGTTCCACGTGAAATGACGCTGTCAGTATAGATCGTTCCATCTATGAAGACTCACCCCACCATTCTTCCGCTAATGTTTGAGTGTAATCGGTACACGCTAATTATCCATGAGTGCACACGCACACTACAATAAAACGCTCGGTTTGCTCGGATCAAACTCTACGCACCCCGCGCGACCGAGACCAAAAATTGGTGGGGCGCGTCTTCGTGGATGGTACGATCTATACAAGGGCGATCACTGGCACTGCACTTAAAGTGGACGCATCAAGAGAGGTTTAAAAATCAAAACCGGACTAACAATAATTTAAAGATTTATAGATTTTCTCCTATTTAACTCATCGAACATCGAACAGCGTGGGACGTCCACCCACAAGGTGGACCGACGACCTGATAAAGGTAGCAGGAAGGCGCTGGATGCAGGCCGCTACCAACCGTGCGATATACACGTCATTAGGGGAGGCCTATGTTCAGCAGTGGACGTCATGTGGCTGAAATGATGATGATGATGATGACTCATCGAACTTGCATTTTACATTTAGAACTCCCCCATAACAATATGCATTTTTGTTCACAGTATCTAATAGATACGAAGCCCACAACGCCAGCCAAATCAAGTGCACGTAAACCTAAAATCGAACCCGCGTCGCCTATGAGCAAGAGAAACTTGCAGCTATTAAGACGGGGGCCACTGGACCTACCGCCTCCCATGCCAGAGGTCGAAGAACCAGTGCAGGATGAAATTGTGAACCATTATTTGAGCCGTGAGTGTAATTTTCTTACTTGTATTTTTAGTTCTATCTTTATGACATGATAAGCAATTAAATGTATTATGAATTCTATGACTGAAGTATACGGATTAGGTTATTCAAGTATTTTCTATAGTTTGAACAAAGCCTTATTTATCGATTTTATCGATACGAAGCTTCGTCTAGTGACTGAATCCACTTTAGTCGTCGAAAATGTGTCGACCAATAGACCCCTACTAATGCTGGATTTCTATATTCAATCCTAATCCAAATTATAGTTCCAAAATACTGAACTGTCCTATCCATGACATTGACAGTGGGGCGCCACCGTCAATACCGGATCGCTGATTCCGATTTTTGCCATGTTGGAAACCATATAGTTGAACGATGGTAGCGCCCCCCTGTCATTGAGTTTGGTGGGACAGTTCAGCGTGGGTCATCTATATACGGATTTGGATTGTCAACTGTCAAATTTTAATATGTTTTTGGCCAAAATATCTGCGGTTTTTGATGTTTTTACATTTTTATATTGTTTATTAGTATATTTAAACAATATTAAAGTGTTAGAAAAATCGATAATTTTGGAAATATAATCTAAAACTGTATTCAATTTGACAGTTGTAATCCGGATTTGGACAAGGATTGAATATGGGAATCGGGCGTAAATCAATCATAAACAGTCATCTTGCTTGTCATAGAATTGGAGAATATATCCTAAAGATGTCACAAACTGTTCATTCGTTTTCAACCTAATATCGTCCACTGCTGGACAAAGAAAAGTGAACCTTAATACTCATCAAATACAAATGCAAATTTATTTCCAGAAAATATGCCGGAACCAGAGCCTCCCAGAGAGAAGACACCAGAACCGGCGGCACCAAATGTAACAGTGCAACAACCTGACGTCACGTCCGACGTCACGGAACAGCCGACCGAAGAAATTGAACAGATTTTTAGAGGTAAGGCTAGACAATTTATGTATTAGGTAATTTATCAGTAATTAGTGTCATTTGAGACGATGTTGTTATTAATTCTGTGTTCTTTTTCGACTCAACCGCAAAGGTTGTGTTGATTAAACTATTGATATTATACGCATCTTCTGCAGTGTCTTTCAGTATACTTCGTATAGATCGTGCCAACCACGAAGATGTTTGAATGTTATCGGTAAATGCTAAATCATCCATGATTGCACACGCACACTACAATAATGCCGCTCGGATTGCTCGGATCAAACTCCCCGCACCCCGCGCTTCCCTCGACCAAAAATTGGTGGGACGCGTCTTCGTGGATGAAACGATCTATACTTCGTACTTGTCGAACTATTAACTGAAAGCCAAATGCACATAATGTCAAAAGTAACGAAAAGGGGTTATGGTTTGGTTTCTGAAACAGTGTCCAGAATTTTTGAACAACGCAGAAAATTATAAAATCTTGCTTCCAACGAGTTGTGAGATACTATACGGTACTTTTTTCTTGTGTAGGCATAAAGATCGAAGTGCAAGGCTTGGACGAGGAAGCGATATGCGAGTTAGGGGCGGAGGTGGGGGCCGCGGGGGGCGCGCTGGNGACCAATATACCCCTACTAAACCAATCATAAACAGTCATCTTGCTTGTCAGAGAACTCGAGAATATATCCTAAAGATGTCACAAACTGTTCATTCGTTTTCAACCTAATATCGTCCACTGCTGGACAAAGAACAGTGAACCTTAATACTCATCAAATACATATGCAAATCGTTGATCTCAGAACATATGCCGGAACCAGAGCCTCCCAGAGAGAAGACACCAGAACCGGCGGCACCAAATGTAACAGTGCAACAACCTGACGTCACGTCCGACGTCACGGAGCAGCCGACTGAAGAAATTGAACAGATTTTTAGAGGTAGTCCTTTAATACTTAAAAAATAACCGGCATAAGTTATGTAAGGCCCAGAACAGACGGTGAAACGCAACTGCAAAGAAACTGCAACTTTCTGATGATTCTGATGAATTAAACTGAAACGGAAACTGAAAGTTTCAAACTGGTCGCGTCATGTGTGGTCTCTCAACGGACGCTATGGCAGAAACTTAGATGCAACTCAAAAGTAACTAGCAGTTGCAGTTTCGTTGCAGTTGCGTTTCACCATCTGTTTTGGGCCTTAGACTGGTGTTGTTATTAATTGGGTAGTTATCACATCTAGTTAGTGTAATGGTGACAGAACTTCTTAAAAACACTTCATTATAGTTATACATTGATTTATGAGCTTTGAAATCAATATCTAATGACGTCATCATTATCAAAGTCCCCATTGCATTACAAAAGATATGGGAGTGACGCGTATTCACAGCTCATACAGTATGTCGATTGGGTTTCAAATCATTCTTAAATTAATATGCATTACTAACTACCAATTTCTTCCAGACGTCGTGATATTTTTATCAATTATTTTCCTTTCCTATCGAACTCATTAGGTCTAAGCTGCGCGCCGCGATAAGCGGTTATCACGCCATTTTATCGCCCATACATTTTGACGTCGATAAAATTATCACGGCGTGCATATTGGCCTAAAGTCCGGTCTGTGAGCACGTAGAATTTTGTCCAATGACCCCAAGCTACCCATCCTTATCGCTCGCGCGTAATTATATTGCTGTCGCGACTGTGCGACGAGTGCCCGCAGTGAGTGTGCGAGCGCGACAGCAGCATAATTACGCGCGAGCGTTAAGGATGGGTAGCTTGGGGTCATTGGACAAAATTCTACGTGCTCACAGACCGGGCTTTTGTGTACTTTTTCTTTCTTCCTTTTCAGTTTAGATAGATAGAATTCCATGTAGGAAATCATATTATGAGGTACTTTTTTCTTGTGCAGGCATAAAGATCGAAGTGCAAGGCTTGGACGAGGAAGCGATATGCGAGCTAGGGGCGGAGGTGGGGGCCGCGGGGGGCGCGCTGGCGGCCGCGGGCGCGGGCGGCTCGCACGCGCTCGTGCCGATGGACTTTGATCCTTCCGAGCTGGTCACAAGGGACGCCGAGGCTGTAACTGTGTTTTGGGTGGTAAGTTCTTGATACGTCACTCGCTTCGGCGCTTTCATGAAGGGCCGAAGTTAGCCGAGTGGTGTAGAGATCCGAAGTTAAAACTTCAGAACGCTTCAAGCACTTTGACTCGGGCTCTTTACCGACAACAATCGGAAGTCGGGCGTGGCGAAGTAACTCGAAGCGAAGTTCATGTCCTTGTCCACACTATCTATTTCAGCCAACTTTGCGAGTAATGTAGCTGAAGAGGTATTCCTCGAAGCGCACCTATTTTGAGGCGCACCTACTGAAGCGCACCTAAACTATTCCTTAGCGCGCCTATGTTTATTATTACTATAAATATTTCGAAGTGTATGTCTACTAAGATGAATAAAAAGTACCAGGGCAACATAACATAGGTGCTAGCTGAGGTATAAAGCTTGGACGAGGAAGCGATATGCGAGCTAGGGGCGGAGGTGGGGGGTGCGGGCGGCTCGCACGCGCTCGTGCCGATGGACTTTGATCCTTCGGAACTGGTCACAAGGGATGCCGAGGCTGTAACTGTGTTTTGGGTGGTAAGTTCTTGATACGTTACTCGCTTCGGCGCTTGGAAGTAAGTTAAGAGCGTGTCTATACTATGTACGTAGTCGGCCGCGGGCGCGGGCGGCTCGCACGCGCTCGTGCCGATGGACTTTGACCCTTACGAGCTGGTCACAAGGGACGCCGAGGCTGTAACTGTGTTTTGGGTGGTAAGTTTTTGATACGTCACTCGCTTCGGCACTTTGATGATTTGCCGAAGTTAACCGAGTAGTGTGTTCAAACTTCAGAACGCTTCAAGTCCTTTGACTCTGGCGCTTTACCTACACCAACCGGACGTTGGGCGAGGTGAAGCGAGGCGATGTTGCTCGAAACGAAGTGGGTGTGCACACTACTTCGGCCAACTTCGCGAGTAGTAGCAGACTCAGTCACTGAGGTATGATGGGGCAAGTACACTATGCGGGTCGAGATGTAATAATGTGAACACCGTCTCGGTTACTTTCTTCTTCTACCCGTGAGATCGTCCATACTTCGGTGTGCGTGCGCTTCGTCTCGGTCAATTTTCCGCATAGTGTACTTGCGCCATAAGACTTGGACGAGCTGGTCACTAGGGATGCCGAGGCTGTAACTGTGTTTTGGGTGGTAAGTAATACGTCACTTGCTTCGGCGCTTCGAAGTAAGTTAAGAGCGCGTCTGTACTACGTACTTCGGCCAACTTCGTGAGTAATGTAGCTGAGGTATGAAGTTTGGACGAAGAAGCGATATGCTAGCTAGGGGCGGGCGGCTCGCACGCGCTCGTGCCGATGGACTTTGACCCTTCCGAGCTGGTCACAAGGGACGCCGAGGCTGTAACTGTGTTTTGGGTGGTAAGTCATACGTCACTCGCTTCGAAGTCAGCCGAGTAGTGTAGTCAGATACCTCTTGTTCAACTTCAGAACGCTTCAAGCCCTTTGACTCGAACGCTTTCCTGGCGCAGTTAAATTGCTATGCGCGAATTTGATCAAATCAGACAGTGTAAACTCGCACTTTTCGTCGTGGGTCGCCTATAATTCCGTGTGTACGTTCGCGCTTATTGTCGATCAATTTCGCGCATAGTGTAACTGCGCCAACTGCCAAAAATTGAAAGTCGGGACGAGGTTGCTCGAAGCGAAGTGGGAAGGAAACGAAAATAAGCATTGAAGTTCTAGATATTCTATCAGGTGCGATGCAGGCTTAAAGCTAGCCCTATCGTGTTAAAAAAGAAACTCGGTACTTCGCGAATGTAATGTGCAAGCTTACTATTTTTTGGTTTAAAAATGTCACGTCATCAAATCAATAATATTGTTACAGAAAGACTGTCTCTCCCAACAAGAGCTACTGCCCATAGAGTACTACCATCGACCTGTACAGATCCCCACTTGGGGTGACGGGCCACCCCCCCTAAACGGGGTCGTAGCGAGTCTTAGTACCTACAGCGGGATGGAGAGGGCGTTCTTAGATGAACTGGCGAAACTCCTTGGTGCTACGTAAGTTATAATAAATATTGACCCATAGAGTGTTATTATCTACCCTTACAGATCCCCACCTGGGGTGACGGACCACCCCCACTTAACGGGGTCGTAGCAAAAAGATTATGAGACATGTAGAGGCTCCTTAAGAGCAAAATGACGATTTGTAAGAACTATTTATTAGTCTAAACAAATAAAGAAATTTTGACTTTGACAAGTCTTAGTACCTACAGCGGGATGGAGAGGGCGTTCTTGGATGAACTGGCGAAACTGCTTGGTGCCACGTAAGCTGTAGTAATAATAATGATCCATTGAGTACTACCATCGACCGGTTCAGATCCCCACCTGGGGTGACGGGCCACCCCCCCTAAACGGGGTCGTAGCGAGTCTTAGTACCTACAGCGGGATGGAGAGGGCGTTCTTGGACGAACTGGCGAAACTGCTTGATGCCACGTAAGTAATAGTAATAGTATTGATCCATAGAGATTAAGAGTCGTCTACCGTCGCAGATCCCCTGTCTTCAATTCACTTGCGTTTCATCTCCAGTTGTGCGCCACTCGCGCTCCATGTTTATTCTAGCTGATCTACAATTCGGTATCACGGTAAAGTTCACGCGGTAATAAAGACGAAACAATAGATTTCTGTTATTTCCATTAAAAGTCCGAACACCTCATTTTTGAAACTAAAATTACTAAATCACAGCAAATGTTTACATTGCGTTTGACTTGCATTTGAGAAAAAGTAACTTTCTGTCAACTTTTACGTAAAGGCGCAGTCGCGCTCCGTTTACGTCACCGCATCGTTTGAACTAGTTGTAAAAACGATACCGCGATACGGATTTGTCAAAAAGCTGATTTTCGTTCCTCCTCCAATCGTGTCCAAAGCTGAAAAATTTTACCCCAATCGGGGCCTTGGGCACAGTTCATTCAATCTTCAGTAACAGTTTTCATGTCAAGTAAGGTTTGTCATTTCTTACATAGAACGCAACTCCGCTTCTGTCGGCGTAACACAGCGAACGCGCTAGCGTCTACGCACCTCATATGCCCCACTCCTACTGGGGACAAATACACCGGGGCGTTGAAGTGGGGCTTACCGGCGGTCAAGGCAACCTGGCTGCTTGAATGCGCTAGAACTGGGAAGAGAGTGAGCGAGAGAGAATATTTAGTTGGTGACACTAAAGGTAAGAAGTTTGTTGTAATTAAAATGTAGTGTTACCTAATTTAGCTTTTCAGTTGTTATTAACTTACCTACTCGAATAATTACTGTATTAAAAATCTATACTAATATTATAAAGCTGAAGAGTTTGTTTGTTTGTTTACTTGAACGCGCTAATCTCCGTAAATACTGGTCTGATTTGAAAAATTATTTCAATGTTAAATAGCCTATTTATCGAGAAAGGCTATAGTCTATACAACATCACGCTACGATCAATAGGAGCAGAGCAACAATGAAAAATGTTGCGAAAATGGTGTTTCACGCGTACAAAGTCGCGGGCACAGCTAGTATTCAATATAAAGTACTTTCGAGATATGAAAATGTTTGAATTCACTGGTACCCATAGCACAAGTTTTGCTTTGTTTGGGACTAAATGGCGCAGTGTAAAATGTCAAAGTATATTTATTTTATTTTCAATTCTGACTGCTAAAATGTGTCTAAACAGTTTTTGAAACTATTTTACTTTGTTTTATCAGCTCCTCCCAGCCCACAGAAGACCATAGAGCAAATGCCGCCAGAATCCAAAGACGAAACCAACTCCACCACGGACAAAGAGAATGACATGCGGCCGCCTCCGACCGCGGCGGTGCCACGTAGAGGCTCCATACCAAGTCGGGAGCAAACTCCGAAGGGGAAGAATATGGGTAAGCTACTTGCGACTATAATACTATAGAAATAGGTCTACTTTGCAGTGTGGTCTCAGCAGAGTAAAAATGACCACCCCACTCTACCCGTGGATATAGTTAAAGGCAACTAAGGGATAAATATGCGAATTCATCCTAAGCCGTTTGGCCAGCGTCCCAAATGCCTGAATGTGCCTTTGGTAAATTATAGAAGGTCGTTCTCCTGCAATGGACACTAAATGACACGATTAGGGTTTCTGATTTCTCGACCTATTTTTTTCTCGAGTTTCGAGAATTCTCGAGACCAAAGTCTCGAGTTTTCTCGGGTATCGAGTCTTTTAATGAAAACTGTTGAAATCGGTTGAAAATTATTGAAAACAGGTTTTTTAATCTTATATACCTACTGTTATAGTCCAGTCAATGAATGCCTTAACGACGGTGTAGAGAGAAATCCGTGGAACACAATTTCTGACCTCGGGACTTTATTTAGCCTAGTTAGGTGGTGAACATAGCAAAAGTCCCCGCCCTTAGCCCTTGTGCCGGCAGGGAGAGGGGGGTTTAAAGGTACCACTTTTCGGTTTTTCGCTTAATCCTCGGAAACTATGCGTCCTAGTAACATGACTACTATGAACCAAAAAAAGCTTATTCAATTTACTACAGGCGAGACCGTCAAGTTTTTCTATATCTTGTATAGTTTTTGCGGCATCTGCTCTAGAAGGTCTGTAAAATTGGAAATTTAATTTTTGTCTTATATGTTCCTATCAGGAGAAAATCGACTAAATCAACATTGAGCAAACACTATAGACATGCGGGAGCATGTTAAGCCTAGTTCCAGGGAGGGGACTGCATCGTGCGTATATTTAGACGACCCAATTGGAGCCACTTTTGACTCCTCGTCACTCAAAAACTACTGTGCATTAACTCTTCAAATTTGGCTCATGTATTGAGACTTGCAAGATATACATCAGCTTTAAATTTCATAAATATACCTCAAACGGTTATTTAGGTATTGACGTTCAAAAATCGACATCTAGAACACTAAAATCTATCTATCACCTGTGAAATGTTAAAATTTACTGGTTTTTTATTTGTTCCTTTGTATTTACATAACTACCTTTCTGGATGCCAAATTTGAACCTTCGAGGTCATCTGAAAGTGGTTAGAATTTGGTCTATAGTTCAGACATGTACATTTTTGGACGTCAATACCTAAAGAACCGTTTGAGGCATATTTATGAAATTTGAAGCTGATGTATATCTTGCAAGTCTTAACACATGAGCCAAATTTGAAGTGTTAATGCACAGTAGTTTTTGAGTGGGGAGGAGTCAATAGTGGCTCAAAGTGGTTCGTCTAAATATACGCACGGTGCAGTCTCCTCCCTAGAACTAGGCTTAATATGCTCCCGCATGTCTAGAATGATTGCTCAATGTTGATTTAGTCGATTTTCTCCTGATGGGAACATGTAAGACAAAAATGAAATTTCCAATATTACAGACTTTCTAGAGCAGATGCCGCGAAAACTATACAATTTATCAAAAAAGTTGACTATCTCACCTGTAGCAAATTGAATATGCTTTTTTTAGTTCGTAGTAGTCATGTCACTAGGACGCATAGTTTCCGAGGATTAAGCGAAAAACCGAAAAGTGGCACCTTTAAACCCCCCTCTCCTCGCCGGCTCAAGGGCTAAGGACGGGGACTTTTGCTAGGTTCACCTCCTAACTAGTCTAAATAAAGTCCTGAAGTCAGAAATTGTGTTCTACAGTTTTCCATCTATAATGCTTTATTGACTGGACTATATTGCACAACAAGAAATATTAGAATTTAGTACCACTTATTTTGGTAAGGAAAGAAACAAACAATAAAATCTTTTTTCATAATTAACATTAACTAATAATCATAACAAAAGTCATAAAGTCANCTAGGGGCGGGCGGCTCGCACGCGCTCGTGCCGATGGACTTTGATCCTTCCGAGCTGGTCACAAGAGACGCCGAGGCTGTAACTGTGTTTTGGGTGGTAAGTTCTTGATACGTCACTCGCTTCGGCACTTTGATGAATTGCCGAAGTTAGCCGAGTGGTGTAGAGATCCGAAGTTCAAACTTCAGAACGCTTCAAGCACTTTGACGACTTTTCTTCTGCCAACATCGCGAGTAACGTAGCTGAGGTATGAAGCTTGGGCGAAGAAGCGTTATGCGAGCTAGGCGCGGGCGGCTCGCACGCGCTCGTGCCGATGGACTTTGACCCTTCCGAGCTGGTCACAAGGGATGCCGAGGCTGTAACTGTGTTTTGGGTGGTAAGTTCTTGATACGTCACTCGCTTTGGCGCTTTGAAGTAAGTTAAGAGCGTGTCTATACTATGTACGTTGTCGGCCGCGGGCGCGGGCGGCTCGCACGCGCTCGTGCCGATGGACTTTGATCCTTCCGAGCTGGTAACAAGGGACGCCGAGGCTGTAACTGTGTTTTGGGTGGTAAGTTCTTGATACGTCACTCGCTTCGGCGCTTCGAAGTAAGTTTTAAGAGCGTGTCTATACTATGTACGCTGGCGGCCGCGGGCGCGGGCGGCTCGCACGCGCTCGTGCCGATGGACTTTGACCCTTCCGAGCTGGTAACAAGGGACGCCGAGGCTGTAACTGTGTTTTGGGTGGTAAGTGTTATACGTGCTTCGGCGTTTTGATGAAGTGCTGAAGATAGCCGCGTCACTCGCTTCGGCGCTTTCATGAAGGGCCGAAGTTAGCCAAGTGGTGTAGAGATCCGAAGTTCAAACTTCAGAACGCTTCAAGCACTTTGACTCGGGCTCTTTACCGACAACAATCGGAAGTCTGACGAGGCGAAGTGCATGTCCACACCATCTATTTCAGCCTACTTTGCGAGTAATGTAGCTGAAGAGGTATTCCTCGAAGCGCACCTATTTTGAGACGCACCTACTGAAGCGCACCTAAACTATTCCTTAGCGCGCCTATGTTTATCATTACTATAAATATTTTGAAGTGTATGTCTACTAAGATGAATAAAAAGTACCAGGGCATCATAACATAGGTGCTAGCTGAGGTATAAAGCTTGGACGAGGAAGCGATATGCGAGCTAGGGGCGGAGGTGGGGGCCGCGGGCGCGGGCGGCTCGCACGCGCTCGTGCCGATGGACTTTGATCCTTCCGAGCTGGTCACAAGGGACGCCGAGGCTGTAACTGTGTTTTGGGTGGTAAGTCATACGTCACTCGCTTTGGCGCTTTCATGAAGGGCCGAAGTTAGCCGAGTCTTTTGACTCTGGCGCTTTACCAACACGAATCGGACGTTGGGAGAAGTGAAGTGTCACTCGCTTCGGCGCTTCGAAGTAAGTTAAGAGCGTGTCTATACTATGTACGTGGTCGGCCGCGGGCGCGGGCGGCTCGCACGCGCTCGTGCCGATGGACTTTGATCCTTCCGAGCTGGTCACAAGGGACGCCGAGGCTGTAACTGTGTTTTGGGTGGTAAGTTTTTTCATACGTTACTTGCTTCGGCGCTTAGAAGTAAGTTAAGAGCGCGTCTATACTGTGTACGTGGTCGGCCGCGGGCGCGGGCGGCTCGCACGCGCTCGTGCCGATGGACTTTGATCCTTCGGAGCTCGTCACAAGGGACGCCGAGGCTGTAACTGTGTTTTGGGTGGTAAGTAATACGTCACTCGCTTCGAAGTCAGCCGAGTAGTGTAGTCAGATACCTCGTGTTCAACTTCAAAACGCTTCAAGCCCTTTGACTCGAACGCTTTCCTGGCGCAGTTAAATTGCTATGCGCGAAATTGATCAAATCAGATAGTGTGAACTCGCACTTTTCGCCGTAGGTCGCCTATAATTCCGTGTATACGTTCGCGCTTATTGTCGATCAATATCGCGCATAGTGTAACTGCACCAACTGCCAAAAATTGAAAGTCGGGACGAGGTTGCTCGAAGCGAAGTGAGAAGGAAACGAAAATAAGCATTGAGGTTCTAGATATTCTATCAGGTGCGATGCAGGCTTAAAGCTGCCCTATCGTGATAAAAAAAACTCAGTACTTCGCGAATGTAATGTGCAAGTTGACTATTTTTTGGTTTAAAAATGTCACGTCATCAAATCAACAATATTGTTACAGAAAGACTGTCTCTCCCAACAAGAGCTACTGCCCATAGAGTACTACCATCGACCCGTACAGATTCCCACTTGGGGTGACGGGCCACCCCCCCTAAACGGGGTCGTAGCGAGTCTTAGTACGTACAGCGGGATGGAGAGGGCGTTCTTGGACGAACTGGCGAAACTGCTTGGTGCTACGTAAGTAATAATAATTATCCATAAGAGTACTACCATCGGCCCGTACAGATCGCCGCGTGGGGTGACGGGCCACCCCCCCTTAACGGGGTCGTAGCGAGTCTTAGTACGTACAGCGGGATGGAGAGGGCGTTCTTGGACGAACTGGCAAAACTGCTCGGTGCTACGTAAGTAATAATAATGACCATCGACCCGTACAGATCTCCGCGTGGGGTGACGGGCCACCCCCCCTTAATGGGGTCGTAGCAAGTCTTAGTACCTACAGCGGGGTGGAGAGAGTATACTTGGATGATCCATAGAGTACTACCATCGACCCGTACAGATTTCAGCGTGGGGTGACTGGCAACCCCCATTCAGTAGGTGCAGGCAAAACGCATTCTTGAGTAGATTCCTTCAGTGTGGTACGGGAGGGATGTGGTTTTTGTTACGGCATGTGACGCGTGACTTCAAAAGTGTACACTGTGACATATTTGTCACGTCACATTTCTTCACCCCTCTCATTCCAATATTTCATATTACAACTACATAATTGTTTTATAGATTTTGTAACAAGTGTATAATCTAGTTTAAACCTTTAATTCTGAAGACTTTCTCTAACAACGTACTTAATCATTTCCACAGAACGCAACTCCGCTTCTGTCGGCGTAACACAGCGAACGCGCTAGCGTCTACGCACCTCATATGCCCCACTCCTACTGGGGACAAATACACCGGGGCGTTGAAGTGGGGCTTACCGGCGGTCAAGGCGTCCTGGCTGCTGGAATGCGCTAGAACTGGGAAGAGAGTGAGCGAGAGGGAATATTTAGTTGGTGATACAAAAGGTGAGACACTTTATATGAGCTCTCAAAACGTGATTTTCCTATAGATTTGTATAGTAAAGACTAGACTTTACTACGAAGGTTGCTATGGCGTCAGTTTTATTATTTAGTTTTATTTATTAATTTCAAAACTACTAAAATCTTATTTTACAACTGAGAACTAATTAGGTTTTTAGGGCTAGAATTTCATTTCCATAGCCCTTCAATTGAGTTTTCGAGATATGATAAAAAGATTACAAAAAGCACGATCACTTACTTTTTAACTTTAAGGTTTTTTTTCGTTTTATCAGCTCCTCCCAGCCCACAGAAGACCATAGAGCAAATGCCGCCAGAATCCAAAGACGAAACAAATTCCACCACAGACAAAGAGAACGACATGCGACCGCCTCCGACCGCGGCGGTGCCGCGTCGAGGCTCTATACCGAGTCGGGAGCAAACTCCGAAGGGGAAGAATATGGGTAAGCTACTTGCGACTATAATACTCTGCACATAGGGTTGAATATTCAAACTAGCATATACAAAGAGAACGACATGCGGCCACCTCCGACCGCAGCCGTACCGTGTAGAGCAGTGGTTCTTAACCTATAAGTCATGAGGGACCATTTTACCAAAGAAGAACGGTCACGTCCCATACAAAAAAAACCCAGACCCGACAGAAACGAGACATACCTCAGTTTTTTTGTCATGTCTTAATTAGTTAAATTATATATTTTTTATATTCGAAATCTATGTATAACACCAAAATATTACCCTTTGTTTTTGTTCAGGCGTTATACGAAAACTAATACAAAATGCCTATTTATTACCAAAATTGGTAAATGTATGTACCTAAATGTCTATTACAGCTGCTATGGAATGTATCTAGGTGACCTGGAGATACATCCGGATTATATAGGGTGGTTATACATATGGAACGATAAGTGATCTCACTCGATTATTTCTAAACTATACAAGATATCGAAAAACTAGTTACTGATTCTGAAAGTGCTTCACGAGCTCTTTCAAATGGTACCAATAATAGGTTACAGATTATGGAAGCTGGTAACATTGAATTTTTGGATTTTGTAACTTCTCGTTTTCACCCTGTATAATCCGGCTGTATCTCCAGGTCACCTAGATGCATTCCATAGCAGCTGTAATAGACATTTAGGTACATACATTTACCAATTTTGGTGATAAATAGGCATTTTGTATTAGTTTTTGTATAACGCCTGAACAAAAACAAAGGGTCATATATTGGTGTTATACATAGATTTCGAATATAAAAAATATATAATTTAACTAATTAAGACATGACAAAAAAACTGAGGTATGTCCCGTTTCTGTCGGGCCTGGGTCACAGATGACCGTTCTTCTTTCTGTCTTGTCAGGGACCACCTCATAATCATATTCGGTCAAAAGTAAACCAGTTTGACTGCAAAAATCGGTTAAAAGTGGTTTTGACCAAGGTGTGCAAGTGCACTTCGTGGACGACTTGGAATGCCTCCAGGGACCACCAGTGGTCCGCGGACCACCGGTTAAGAACCACTCGTGTAGAGGCTCCATACCTAGCTGGGAACAAACTCCGAAGGGAAAGAATATAGGTAAGTTACTTGCGACTATAATGCTCTGCATACAAGGTTGAATATTCAATCAAACTCTATCTCAGACAAAGAGAATGACATGCGGCCGCCTCCGACCGCGGCTGTGCCGCGTAGAGGCTCTATACCGAGTCGGGAGCAAACTCCGAAGGGGAAGAATATGGGTAAGCTACTTGCGACTATAATACTCTAGAAATAGGTCTACTTTGCAGTGTGGTCTCAGCAGAGTAAAAATGACCACCCCACTCTACCCGTGGATATAGTTAAAGGCAACTAAGGGATAAATATGCGAATTCATCCTAACTAAGCCGTTTGGCCAGCGTCCCAAATGCCTGAATGTGCCTTTGGTAAATTATAGAAGGTCGTTCTCCTGCAATGGACACTAAATGACACGATTAGGGTTTCTGATTTCTCGACCTATTTTTTTCTCGAGTTTCGAGAATTCTCGAGACCAAAGTCTCGAGTTTTCTCGGGTATCGAGTCTTTTAATGAAAACTGTTGAAATCGGTTGAAAATTATTGAAAACAGGTTGTTTAATCTAATGTACCTACTTTTATTGCACAACAAGAAATATTAGAATTTAGTACCACTTATTTTGGTAAGGAAAGAAACAAACAATAAAATCTTTTTTCATAATTAACATTAACTAATAATCATAACAAAAGTCATAAAGTCGCGTGTACTTTAAGGATAATAAATAACAATAAAAATCTGGAGCTACAATAAAATTGAATCACTTGTTTTCCAAAGAACACAATTCCAAATAGCAAAATAACGATAGTAAAAACTTTTTAATAAATTTTTAAATTTCTTAAAGATAACAAGACGTTTTAAACGACTTGAATAAACTTTACGAGGAGTCACGAGTACATTGATTGAGATCATTACTTGCAAATCAAATCAGTTAAAAAAGGAAAGACTAGGCCAGTCTAAAAGCGACGTTAACCTATTAAATAATTAAAAACTTATTTTTGTCTAAGAAAATAGGCTTTCAAGAATATTAAAGCTTCAAAATCGAAACTCGAGAATTCTCGAGCTCCGGTAATTTTTTTCTCGTCTCGAATCGAAAGCTCGAGCAGAAACCCTAGACATGATGAAGATAGTAAAAATATGAATATTACTCAAATTTTTAAAGTTCTAATTTTAGTATAATAAATAAAATATATTTTTTTTTTCATTTAGATGTCGATGACATGTCACCCGCGTCAAGATACATAGCGATGGCTCGCCAAGGACTTTTAGGCGGCGACTCTCAAGAAACGCCCAAGAGGATTCAAGCTTTGAAAGATGATGCTAGACAAGGCAAGTATATTTTACTGAAAGTGTAAACGGGTTTGACGCAGGCCGTCCCATTCGCAAAATGGGCACTATAGTTCAACTTGTAGGTTGAAAATATTAGACAATTTTTATCTGAGTGTGACCATTTTGCGAATGGAACAAAATGAATGACCATTTTTGAATTCGTGACGAAATGCGAATGGGACGGTCTGCGTCAAACCCGTGTAAACTGACTCAATATTTCAGAGTTTCTAATTTCTAAGTGACTTAATGTTTTTTAGATGGTGAAATCAGAACGCCGCCTTTAGACGATGCCCTATCCACCCCCAATCTGGTCGGTCTCAGTCCAACGACTCGGCGGCGGCTGCAAGCCGTGAAGCGAGGAGAGATGCCTTCAGACCCGATACGCACGCCTAAAGACCTACGTGAGTATACAAAATACTGACGTAATTATCAATATTAATTGACATTCTAGGTCGCCATTACTACTATTGTTTTGACACAGAATCGCCAGGTTAATCTACAGAAGACAGACAAATTCTAGGTTCAATTTTACTTAAACTTTACGTCAAAAAATTACGAGTTACATTATGTACTCACGGCTTGACGTTTCGGCTGTGATGCTGCAGCCGTGGTCACAAGCAGACTGGCGGTTCGCGGCGTCGTCCGTTCGGGCGGGCATGAAAATTTTCAACTGAACGCGAACCGCCAGTCTGCTTGTGACCACGGCTGCAGCATCGCAGCCAAAAAATTATGAGAATTAGGGATGCGGCGATTTTTCCGAATATACTCACTCAGTACATAATTTGTATCTTTTGAATCTGCAACGCTCAAAACCACTGGCCCCTTTTGAACCTTAAGACAAAACATTAAGGTGCAAATATTATGTGGTGGTGGCCAAGTTCCTTTTGAAGATTTGTTATAATATCCACAGTGAATCGCAATCCAGACACTCCCGACAGTGCATTCGGGGCAGCCCTAAGGCCGGGTTCAGGCCGACTTTCTCCAGAGGCAAGGAAACGATTGTGGCAAGTCGTGCAAGACCTACCTTCTAAGGAACCACAGCTGTCCAAGGAAAGGCATACGGTGAGTGAAATTGATTTTAGTTAGTAATTTCAAAGACAGTTTATCAGTTAACCCTCACATCAATATAAGCTTAAATTCCCTTTCATCATATTGTTGACATAGCTCGCAATTATACAAAGTGTAACGTGTACAATCGAATGAATGAATGACTGAAGTACAGTCAGCGTCAAGTAGTTCGTTACACCCTAAGTCAGTGGTTCTTAACCTTTAAGTCACGAGGGACCATTTTACCAAATTTCTGTCTTGTCAGGGACCACTTTTTTTTTCAAAATCCTACGAAAGGGGTGGTCGATTTCTCGCCCATTGTGCGCGGTTTGTGTTGTGTTGACTCGACTCATTACGTCACGTCACATGTTTATTATGATGTCTTCGTGTACCACTTGGAATGCCTCCAGGGACCACCAGGGGTCCGCGGACCACCGGTTAAGAACCACTGCCCTAAGTGATCAAACATTTTACAATACGTTGGCTACTTTCCCTATCTTAATTCAATTTTGGTTAATCGATTTGAATAACTAAAATTTTATAATATCGTCCAACAACAGTAAAAGTATATTTCAATCGACTTTCTCATACTGAAAGTAGTTTAACTTTAATTATTATTAACATAAAAATTTTTACAGCCACTATCAGAAATCCGCAACAGATTCCTCGCTCAATTCAATGGCGACGCTGCCACGCCCCCTTCGGAACATCACGCGGCTCCGAGAAAATTACAATTACAGGTGATTACAGAGACATACAATAAACTGTTTTATTTGAAGTCAATGCAAATATGAAAATTCATAATTTATTCTTCTTTTTTAGGAACAAGCAGATACTCCACCCGCTAAAATGCCAAAATTATCGGCAGATCAAGTAAGTCTAAAAAAATTATCCAAGCCAATAGACATAATTGACTCGTTCTTACACACTCACTGTGGGCGTCCGTCGCACAGTCGCGACAGCAATATAATTACGCGCGAGCGATAAGGATGGGTAGCTTGGGGTCATTGGACAAAATTCTACGTGCTCACAGACCGGGCTTTAGTTCATCAACGAATTATTTGTGACTGGTCCACTATTGACGAAAAATCACAAACTTTTTCCCACAGAGTGCTGGCAGTATAAGCAGTCACATTCACGAAGATGAAGACAGCTCCAAGAACTCAACTTCAAGCGCTTCAAGCACTTTACCTGCAGCGGTGGACGCTCAGCTGAACAGGCTCAATGCAGCGCTTAGCAGCCGCTTGAGTTCGCAGAAGGCAAGACGCACTAGAGACTCTTTTCCTGTACCAGGTAATAAATATCATCTATTTATTAGGGAATTACGTATTGATAAGGGTTTGTTCATTGAATCATACTAAATTAAAAAACAAAATTATAGATAAACTAGCTTTCTGACCGCGGCTTCGCCTGCGTGGAATTTTTCGGTTTTTTATATAACTTATGACACTCAGCAATAATGGGGCTTTCTATTGGTTAAATAATTTTTAAAATCGGTTCAATAGATCCCTAGATTTACCCCTTACAATTTAACAAACACACAAAACTTTACCTCTTTATAATATTAGTACTATTATACTCGTAATAAGGCCATTCCAGGATAAAAAAGAGTTTAAATTAGTCCGTCAGTTAATTTATCAAAAATTACTCAACACGTATTTTTAAATATTTCAAAAAATTATGACGTTATAAAAACATCCTCCCGTGCCGCTCCCATACCTACACAGACTCAATTAACCGCTAGATCTATAGCATAGATACTAAAGCCTGATCCGTGAGCACGTAGAATCCAGTCCAATGACCCCAAACTGCCCATCCTTGTCGCTCGCACGTAATTATGTTGCTGTCGCGACACTCACTGCGGGCGCGCGTCGCACAGTCGCGACAGCAATATAATTACGCGCGAGCGATAAGGATGGGTAGCTTGGGGTCATTGGACGGGATTCTACGTGCGCGCGGAATTTTTTGTATGGTCGAAAGGGGCCGCGTCTCAAATAAGTTAGGGAACTCCTGAGCTAGCTAGTGTACGCATTTTGGGACATTCTTTGTGTTTTCCACAAATATCTTACAGCAAATCTTGTCTTATTCTTAGCAAACCAAAGAGTGTTGAAGATTAGTAATTTAATTTATAGTTCCACCGCCGATTGAGGTCGAGACAGGCCCCGAATCGCAGCCCAATACAGTGGGATGGGACGACACAACGCCCGCCAACAATGTACAAGACGCGCCGGTACAGACGCAAGCCACCAAGCGGTTCATGCTGTCTTCGAATGTTGATGTAAGTTATTAATATTTACTTTTATTAAATTCCCATTAGATTATAGATCGTTTCAAGTCTACATAATCTTTAGTTGAGGAACTGGTAGGGACCATGCTCCCTGAACCGCTCTTATTGAAGAATGCTTGCTCTACCTGTGCAAGTTGTCATAGAGCGTATCGATAGCATAGAGTCACGAGTTTAATCGTAAATTCGTGACTCCGCTCGGTAGACATCGATCTAAGACTACGTTGTCTCATCGTAATGGTGCGTCCACACTGGGTGCACGGGCTCGCGCGGCACATTCGACATCCTGCTCACTCAAGAGTAGGGTGAGCTAAATGACCAGCGTGCCGCGCGAGCTCGTGCGCCCTAGTGTGGTCGCACCATTATACTTTGACAGCAAATTGTTAAGAGATTGACACATTGTTATTTTTGATTGCAGAACCGCGAAGAGATAATAGAGATGATCCAATACCTCGGCGGCGAGGTGTGCGAAGGCACAGAACTTGATCCGGAGGCGACGCATTTGCTATGCGCCGCGCCGGGCCGCAGCGAGAAGATGCTCGGATCCATAGCCGCGGGCCGCTGGGTGCTGCATCCCGCTTATGTGGCGCGTAGCAGGGCCGGCGGCGGCTTCCTAGCGGTGAGCTTTCAGCAGGGTACTCATCTAGCCATGTAACATGACTTGACTTATGGTCCTATGTCCCCTAGATGGGGCAGAGGGCGTCCACAACAGTCCTCCATCGCGTTCGGTGTTGAGCTATGTGTTTGATCTCGCTCCAAGTCTTGCCGATCTTCTTCGCCTCGTTTGCCACAGCGCGCCGCCAAGTTTGCTTGGGGCGACCACGTTTGCGTTTTCCTTGGGGGTTCCAATCCAGAGCCTGCTTGGGGATGTGATCGGGATCCCTTCGGAGAGTGTGGCCAATCCAGTTCCACTTGCGGCGCTTGATCTGCTGGTCGATCGGAATTTCGTGGCAGCGTTCCAATAGCTCGACGTTGCCCAGACATAGGGCCCACTGTCGCGTGCCGCGCTGCGAGGCTTCCTGGCGGTGAGCCTTCCTGCCCAGACATAGGGCGCACTGTTGCGTGTCTCGCGGCCGCAGCGAGGAGATGCGAGGCTTCCTGGCGGTGAGCCTTCCTGCCCAGACATAGGGCCCACTGTCGCGTGCCGCGCTGCGAGGCTTCCTGGCGATGAGCCTTCCTGCCCAGACATAGGGCGCACTGTTGCGTGTCTCGCGGCCGCAGCGAGGAGATGCGAGGCTTCCTGGCGGTGAGCCTTCCTGCCCAGACATAGGGCGCACTGTTGCGTGTCTCGCGGCCGCAGCGAGGAGATGCGAGGCTTCCTGGCGGTGAGCCTTCCTGCCCAGACATAGGGCGGTGAGCCTTACTGCCCAGACATAGGGCCCACTGTCGCGTGCCGCAGCGAGGAGATGCGAGGCTTTCTGGTGGTGAGCCTTACTGCCCAGACATAGGGCCCACTGTCGCGTGCCGCAGCGAGGAGATGCGAGGCTTCCTGGCGGTGAGCCTTACTGCCCAGACATAGGGCCCACTGTCGCGTGCCGCGCGCGCCGCAGCGAGGAGATGCGAGGCTTCCTGGCGGTGAGCCTTCCTGCCCAGACATAGGGCCCACAGTCGCGTGGCGCGCGGGCCGCAGCAAGGAGATGCAAGGCTCTGTAACGAGAACGTTCTTGGCTCTCTTACTTTTGTACTAATATTATAAATGCGAAAGTTTGTTTGGATGTCTGGATGTTTGTTATTCTTTCACGCAAAAACTACTAAACGGATTTTGATGAAACTTTTCAGTATTATTGTTTATAACCCAGAATAACATAAAGGCTATATAGGTCGTTCTGTACCAAACTAAACTTCACGCTCGTGAAGCCGCGGGCAAAAGCTAGTTTGATAATAATCAAGCCCACTGACTATGTCTGTCAAACCCTTGATCAAAGAACACGTTTTTTGTCATTTTGACTATTTCAGCTGCTGCTGCTAAACATAGGTCTCCATCAATCACTTCCACATCGCCCGTTTTGTAGCGGCTTGCATCCAGAGCCTTCCTGCTACCTTTTTACTAACTTGTGTCGTGCCTAAACCTTCAACCACACCAACGCGTGCAGATCGCCATCGCCGGCGCGATCATAGGCCAATGACAGGTCGCGCGGACTGTCATGGGTCACACGTCCTGTCATTGGCCTATGATCGCGCTGTGATCATGCCGGCGATGGCGATCTGCACGCGTTGGTGTGGTTGAAGCATAACACATAAATAAAACAAAACGCGTCTATTTTTCAACCGACTTCAAAAAAGGAGGAGGTTCTCNTTCCTGCCCGGACATAGGGCCCGTTTTCCTTGGGGGTTCCAATCCAGAGCCTGCTTGGGGATGTGATCGGGATCCCTTCGGAGAGTGTGGCCAATCCAGTTCCACTTGCGGCGCTTGATCTGCTGGTCGATCGGAATTTCGTGGCAGCGTTCCAATAGCACGACGTTGGAGATTTTCTCAGGCCAGTATATGCCGAGAATTCGGCGAAGGCAGCGGTTGACGAAGACCTGCAGCTGGTGCGAGATGACCTTGGTGACCTTCCACGTTTCACACCCATAGAGCAGCACGGATTTAACGTTGGACCCGAAAATTTTGCCATGTAACATATAATGTATCAGATACTGTATCAAGTGAGTATGATCTCACTTGGCACGGTGCTCGCGCGTGGTTCACAGGGAGATCGCAGCGGTATCTCGGCGAGCACAAAGGCGGCCCCGGGAGCTCGCAGCTAGGTACGCGATGACCGTACGAACCGTACTCATTTGAATGTTGGATATGTTACATGCTAGGTTACGTACGACAGTGGGCCCTATAGACTAAGAGCTAGTAAACACCAGACCTACGTCATTTTATAAAAGCTGAAAGTTTGTCAGCGTATGCTCCCAATATAGGGTAGAATTTAAGTGAGTCATGAAGTTTGGGTTCTTAGCGAGGAGATGCGAGGCTTCCTGGCGGTGAGCCTTCCTGCCCAGACATAGGGCCCACTGTTGCGTGGCGTGCGGCCGCAGCGAGGAAATGCGAGGCTCCACAACAAGAACGTTCTTGGCTCTGGGATCTTACTTTAGTACTAATTTATAAATGCGAAAGTTTGTTTGGATGTCTGGATAGTTGTAACTCTTTCACGCAAAAACTACTAAACAGATTTTGATGAAACTTTACAGTGTTATTGTTTATAACCCAGAATAACATAAAGGCTATAATTTAGGTCGATCTGTGACAAACTAAATTTCACGCTCGTGAAGCCGCGGGCAAAAGCTAGTTTGATAATAATCAAGCCCACTGACTATGTCTGTCAAGCCCTTGATCAAAGAACACTTTTTTTGTCATTTTGACTATTTCAGCTGCTGCTGCTAAACATAGGTCTCCATCAATCACTTCCACATCGTCCGGTTGGTAGCAGCTTGCATCCAGGGCCTTCCTGCTACCTTTTTGACTAACTTGTGTGTGCTTAAAACACGTCTATTTCTTCTCATCATCAAACCTATCTTCACCAGGAGGAAGACTTCGAATGGGGGAATCCCAAAGCCACATGCCTACCTCCTCTCTCGGGGGCGGAGCGTACGTTAGCCCGGGCCGCTTACCGCTGGCGATCAGGGCGCGAGCGACGATTACCGGGGCCTTTTGCTGGCGTCGTGGCCTTGCTACACGTACCAGCGGCTAGGAGAAGACTGCTGGCTAGACTCGTCAGCGCTGGGGATGGAATAGCGCCCGAAGACGAGTGAGTACTAATATTATTTAATATAAGTTCTGCTACAGCAATGTGGACTTTATCGTACTAGAGTTAAGGTCCACTGGCGCTTGGGACCATTTGCGGGCGTCGTGGCCTTGCTACACGTACCAGCGGCTAGGAGAAGACTCCTGGCTAGACTCGTCAGCGCTGGGGATGGAATAGCGCCGGAAGACGAGTGAGTACTAATATGACAAGTACCTACTGCTAGAGTAAACCTTATTGTACAAGCGCGGTGGCTACCGGGGCCTTTTTCTGGCGTCGTGGCCTTGCTACACGTACCTGCGGTTAGGAGAAGACTGCTGGCTAGACTAGTCAGCGCGGGAGACGGAATAGCGCCGGAAGACGAGTGAGTACTAATATTATCCCAACTAGTCCCAACTAATATTATAAATGCGAAAGTAACTCTGTCTGTCTGTCTGTCTGTTACGCTTTCCCGCTTAAACCTCGCAACCGATTTTGATGAAATTTGGCATAGAGATAGTTTGAGTCCCGGGAAAGAACATAGGATAGTTTTTATCCCGGTTTTTGAAACAGGGACGCGCGCGATAAAGTTTTTCTGTGACAGACAAAATTCCACGCGGGCGAAGCCGCGGGCGGAAAGCTAGTTTAATATAAGTTCTGCTACAGCAATGTGGACTTTATCATACAAGAAATAAAGTTCAAAGTTCAGAGACTTTTGCGGGCGTCGTGGCCTTGCTACACGTACCAGCGGCTAGGAGAAGACTGCTGGCTAGGCTTGTCAGCGCTGGAGATGGAATAGCGCCGGAAGACGAGTGAGTACTAATAACACAAGAGCAATGTGAACCTTATCGTACATGAGTTAAGGTTCACTGGCGTTTGGGGCCATTTGCGGGCGTCGTGGCCTTGCTACACGTACCAGCGGCTAGGAGAAGACTGCTGGCTAGACTGGTCAGCGCTGGAGATGGAATAGCGCCGGAAGACGAGTGAGTACTAATATTATTTAATATAAGTTCTGCTACAGCAATGTGGACTTTATCATACAAGAAATAAAGTTCAAAGCTCAGAGACTTTTGCGGGCGTCGTGGCCTTGCTACACGTACCAGCGGCTAGGAGAAGACTGCTGGCTAGGCTTGTCAGCGCTGGAGATGGAATAGCGCCGGAAGACGAGTGAGTACTAATAACACAAGAGCAATGTGAACCTTATCGTACATGAGTTAAGGTTCACTGGCGTTACGGGTGCGATCAGGCGTTGTGGTCTAGCTACATGTACCAGCGGCTAGGAGAAGACTGCTGGCCAGACTCGTCAGCGCTGGAGATGGAATAGCGCCCGAAGACGAGTGAGTACTAATAACACCTGAGCAATAATAAACCTTATAGTATGAGGGATAAGGTCCACTAGCGTTCGGGGTATGAGCGACGATTACCGGGGCCTTTCGCTGGCGTCGTGGCCTTGCTACACGTACCAGCGGCTAGGAGAAGACTGCTGGCTAGACTCGTCAGCGCTGGAGATGGAATAGCGCCCGAAGACGAGTGAGTACTAATAACACAAGAACCTACTGCTAGAGTAAACCTTATCTTATTGTACAAGAGCAGTGGCTACCGGGGCCTTTTTCTGGCGTCGTGGCCTTGCTACACGTACCAGCGGCTAGGAGAAGACTGCTGGCTAGACTCGTCAGCGCGGGAGATGGAATAGCGCCGGAAGACGAGTAAGTATAACAAGTAATATGAGAGCAATGTGAACCTTATGGTGCTAGAATTAAGGTCCACTGGCGCTTGGGACCATTTGCGGGCGTCGTGGCCTTGCTACACGTACCAGCGGCTAGGAGAAGACTGCTGGCTAGGCTTGTCAGCGCTGGAGATGGAATAGCGCCGGAAGACGAGTGAGTACTAATAACACAAGAGCATGCAAGAAAGGATTTTTTCCTGGCGGCTTGGTGACTGGAATT